AGTTATAAAGCAAAATGCAAATGTAAGTTCCTGAGCCCTGTTGATTTAAAATTCTTTTATTCCTCAGTGCCTGGGATGGTGATGGTCATCACTGAAGAAGATGAAGACACCTGGGTTTTCTCCCACCCTGGTAACCCTGAAGTGAGTGTGGGGCACTAGGGGAGGGGTTGGTTTTTGGTACCCAGGATATGGAGCTAAGAATTGAGAAAGGAGTGTCCTGCATCCTCCAGTCTCCAATGTGGATTCCCCCACCCTTCAGCTCTGTGGCCTGCAGTCTGGGGTGAGAGCACAGGGATACCCGCCGAGGCCCTGGCCAACCTATCTGTTCTGTCTCTATTTGCTCTGCTCGTTTAACATTACCAAATACCTCCTCTGGGACAGACCCTAACTTGATGTGGAGGATCCAGAGACTGATAAGAAAACACTCAGTGTGTCAAGATACCTACAGGGATCATACAGATACACCAGGACACGGTGCTATTAGAGAGGCAGGGAAAGTGTCCCAAACTGTTAACAGGGCTTAACAGGAAGCTGGACTAATTACAGGCTTAACAGTTTTTACTTACATAATGACTGGAAAGGTTTTACAACAAGCATTCTTCTAAAATCTGAGATCTCCCACCACCCCCACCCCAATTGCTGATGAAGCTGTCCTTTTAGGGTTAGGGAAGGGGGCAGAAACCAGGCAGCTGAGAGGTTTCTCTTCTCTTATCCAGGGGCTTGGGGAATATTGGATCTGGAGGAACAAATATTCTCTCATCTCTGTATCAATAGCTAAGTTGTAACAGTAGTTTACGTACCATGTGCTGCTTTAAGAATTTTGCACGTATTCATTCATTTAAATCTCACAGTGATCCCACAAGGTAGTTATCATTATCACACCCATTTTTTGGATGAGAAAAATATGATACAGAATGATGAATCTTGCCCAAGATCATCGGGCTTAATCTTTCTGGGAACAGCCCTCTTGACTGGCCATTCCCTGGAGTAGAGGAAGGGTTGAATGTTACTCCCTCCCAGCCAGAGCAGTCTTTCCTCCCCTAAATCACCATATACCCCTTCCAACGATGCCTGCTCCTCCCTTTCTCAGATCCTGAAGGGCAAATTCAAGGAGTTCCTCCAAGGCCCCCAGGGCACAGGCCCCTTTGCTCCCTGAGTTAGGAACCCCAGCCAGCACTAGGACAACTGCCAAGGCCTACAGAGTTACAGACCTCTCCCTGCCTCCCCAGAGCCAGGGACAGTTCTGCTGGGCCCTGGGCTACTTCTGCTGCCTGCAGAACACCTGCTCTTTCAGGAAGCCTTCCTGGACTTCCCAGCAGTTATCTACCTGTCTCCAAGGCCATACTGAGAGCATCTTCCAAGTGGCTGACAGTACTTAACACTGTGTCTGCTGCATAATTACCATTCTACCATAGTAGCAGGTATTTCAAACATCTCTCACTTTCCTGAAACTTCCACTCCTATGATGGACTCGGTGATGCACCGCCCAGGTCTCCTTCAGGACTGAAGGATCTACTCCCCAGCTGCAGGGAGTACTGCCAGCAGATGGCTCTCAGCTACCAGCCCCTCTAGGGATTACCTCTGCTCATGTGACCTGCCTTGCCCAGTGTCCTGCAGCCTGTTCCAATGACTGATCCACATAGGGGTTTAAAGGCCCACCCCCAGCAGGGCCTTTAAACTCTGGATAACTCTGAAGAATCTTGCCAGCTTCAGCGCTCCCAGCTCAACTTCTCCTGCCCAGTCCTGCTTCCTTCCCTTCTCTTCCACAGGTTATTAATGCTAAGAGCACTCCCCAATAACCTTCCTGCACACTGATCCCCAACTCAGAGCTTGCTCCATGGAGAACCCAGCCTGCAATAACTACCCTTGGTCTTGTTCATTTACTGATTCCTTCAGCCAGTTTTATTGAGCACCTATTATGTGCCAGGTCCCGCAGCAAAGGCAGGAGCTGGAGCTTAAAGCTAACTACCAATGGGGGATCACATCTCCTACCCCACAGAGAAGCCAGAAGTCACAAGAGGGGAGATTCTATCAATTTCCACCATAAAATCCACAGACCTCCCTGCATCTGTGCCCTTCTCCTCCTTCTTTTGCCTCCATGGAAGAGCTGTTCCTCCTTTCAGGGCCCAGCCTGACACTAGGCTCTGCATCCTGTGCCCTCCTACCAGGGTGACCAGTCTGTCTCCGTCTGCCCAGGGATGCTCCAGTTTTAAAATGGAAAGTCCCAAATTTTGTTAAACCCCTCACAGCCGGCTGGGAAAACTGGGATGGTTTATCACTACCTCTCATCTTTTAGGGGACCTAACTTAATTGATAATCACACCTCTCTGTTAATCTTCAGCTGCTTGCTCTGTATAAGCTCCTTCTCATCGTCATTTAAATCTTTCCTAGCCTTAAAAATCCTCCCTGGACCCCACATCCCCCTCTAGCTTCTACCTCCTTTCTCTGCTCCCCTTGACAGCCAGATGCCTTAAAAGCATAGTTACTATTTCTTACCTCCCACTCTGTCTGGTTGCCGCACTCCTCTGAAACTCATCCTGCCAAGGCCACCTATGGCCTCCTTGTTGATAAACCAAGTGGACACTTTTCAGTCTTCACTGTGCTTGGCCTCTGTACTAGGCCAGACCTGGAAGTCTGACCCAAGTTGAAGGATGGCAAAAATGATGTCTTGGACTTGGTTCAAGGATCTTTTAAAATTGGTCTATATCCGAAGCAGCTAATGCTACATCTGGATGCAAAGGATGGGCAGTGATAAGGGTGTAGGTGAGTGGATGTGCCACCTCTCTGCCTCCTTTGAGCATCCAGGGTTAGTAGTCTTGCCAGTTGCAGATAGTGAGATACCACACACCTCATGACAGCACAGTTGCCTGTCACATCCCCCAGTTACATCAGCCCAGAAACATCTGCTACCAGACAAAAATCCTGCACCCGGCCCTCATGTCTGGGTTCTAGGCCTTGAAGTTCTTGTTAGGCTAGTACCAAGCTGATCTTCCCTTATCGGCATCTGTGGTGTAGGGCCCAAGGATTTTCCATTTGTGTCCACTCAGGTGGGACTAGCCAGGTCCTACCAAATTCTCTTAGCATCACTAGGCTTGGTTGACTCTCTCACCTGCAAAACTCTTTTCCCTTGGTCTCTGAGATTCTAGGGCTGGCTCTGTTTGCCAATCAAATTCCATTCCTCCTTCAGACCTCACCTTGCTTGTGACTTCCTCTTGACATCATTATATCCCACATCCCATGTCATTGTTAGTCCCTGTTTAAGTCTGATTTCTCACACAGACTGTAAGTGCTACGAGGGTAGGAGGCAGGTGTTTATCATTTACCACCCTAACTTCTGAGCCCACTTTTCTCCTATCAGTAAATACTTGCTGAATGAATATGAGAACACTCATTACCATTATACTGAATGTCTGCTTTACCTATGTCATTTCTAATCTTTGTAACAAGCTAAGTATTATTTTATACCCTGTTTTATATCTGCAAAAACTGAGGCGCTGAGAGGTAAGTGACTTGCCCCAAATTATCAAGCAAGTATGTATCCTCTTTCCACTGCACACAGCTGGGCCAGCCTGTTTCTTGTCTTGTTGTGACACATTTCACCTTCTCCAGTTAACTGTCAGAGCCAGAATAGGACCAGGGCAAGACCTGGCTTACCTGACATGAGAGGCACCTGTTCCCCTGGTGGCCCCTGGGGACCCCAAGCCTTCAACCACACTCCAACTTAAACACTCCTCTGTTAAAATGCACATCCCTGTGAGGGAGGAGTGAACCCCTCAGATGAAAACCATTTTTTTAACAGTTTTATTTCTCTTGGGTAGTGGAGATGGCAAGAATACCCTGGTTTTCTTGTAGCTCTACAATAACAGCATCTTTGCGTCTCATTTTATTGTCATCAAACCAGCGGAGCTACCCCAATATATGAGGGCAATAGAGGTCCAGGTAGGTGAATGGAGTTTGGGCCAAATCAACCAGGTGTTCAATAGTGACTCTGCTATCTCGATGACATGTCCACCAGGGAATTTTCCCCCCTGCTTTCTTGCATACCTCAGACCTGCTCTTGGTCTCAGTGTGGGGAGAGACCAGACTAACAAAAGTGGTGAGCAGCTGACTCCTGGCAGCCATCGCTGTTTCATTCTAATCAGACTCATAGAAATATGAGTTGGGGGTTGGGAAGGCTTTCACACCTATGTTCTCCTAGGTGAGTAGGAAGGGTAGGATATTTGCCTCATTTTATAGATGGGGAAACTGACAACCAGAGAGCAGGAGTGACTTCTGCAGTCTCAGCACTAATTAGTGATCCAGCCACTAGTGATTGGAATCAGCCCTCCTGATTCCAGAGCAAGGCTCTCTCTTCGACCCCCACAACCTCCGGTATTGGGGATCAACGTGAGGGTGGCTCACAGGAATCCAAGCAGCGGGCGGCTGTGGATAGAGACAGTGCTGCCCAGCGGTACCCTAAGCACTCCCCTCCACTCCGCCCCATACTCGACAATCCGTCCATGATACTCCTGACACTGTCAAAGCCAAGCGAATGGAATTGCCATTCTCTGCCTCCGCCGGCTTTTCCACTTCAAGGCTGCTCTTGAAATTCCTTCTTGGGATAGTCGCGGAAGAGAAGAACCCTGGACAGTGGCTAAATATCTCTTCTCGGATAAGTGGATGCCGACTTAGCCTACAGAAAAGGCAGATTTGAAACATGTTTGATGCCTGGTTGCTGCATTTGCTGATGAACGCAGTCCCAGGGACGGCAGAGATGGAGCCTACCTCCAACCTCCGTATCCTAACCCCATTATTGGTTTCTGCTGGTCAGTCTGATCCGTCCAGCCTCGGAGACACTGCCTCAAACCTTCAGGAAGCGGGAAGAGGAAGTGCGCAAACGCACTGTTGACAGCACCCGCCACCCGAGCTGTACTTCGTTACTTAGGAAACAGCCAATCAGCGATCTGGGCGGGGACCAATGGGAAGCGCGCATAAGCCGACCCGACTAATTTGAACACGCGGCGCGGGCCGGAGGTTGGCGCGGGTGGAGTGCGTGTGCAGGGCGCTCTCCGGTGGTCTGGGTTTCCGGTCTGCTGAGGCGGGACCCGGCAGGGAGCGGCGACCAGCGGCGGGGAACCGACGAAGGGTAAGCGCTGGCCCACGGCGGAGCCGACCCCGCGAGCTCCTGCTCCAGGGTCTGGACGCGCGGAGTCTGCAGCTGGCGGCGGAAGCTGGAGCCCGGCCTTTTTTTGTGCGGGACACCAAGGTGCAGCGTGGAGACCCATCAGGTCCTGGGTGCCTCTCTCTGAACAGGGCGGGGGGCGGTGCGGGGAGCATGGCGCTTTCATCCACACCTGCACGAGAGATCCGGACCCTCTGCTCATCTGTACAGGACCTAGACTGGGTCCGCACGTCTGCACCACGGCCCAGCCCTCTGTACATCCGCTCTGGGAAACGTCTGACTGCTCATGCATAGTGTCTTTCTGCGCACTATAACTTGAGTCCTGGGACTCCCTGCACATCTGTATGGTGTAGCTAAGACCCCCTCTGTACATTTATGCAGATCCGATTGCAGAGCTGTGCCAGGGACCGTAACTTAGTTACGACCGCACCCAGTAAATATTTGATTGGATAGAGGAAAACCGAAGAACATCTGCATAACAGAAAAACCAGGCCTTGTGCTTTTGCGCCTAGGATGCCTCTCCACTTAGCTTTGACCCTTTGAGGTACTGAAGTGGTATGGAAAAGATAAGCCTGGTCTGTGTCACAGGAAATAGGAGGTTTTACTGCAGACATTGGTTCTCCTGGGAAAATGGGAAATCATGGGAAAATGCCGTATATTATATCAGTTCTAATAATGATAGCCAACATTTATTGAGTACTTACCAGTTTTGAGTTAACTCATTTAATCTTCGCAATAACCCAACGGGAAAGATACTAATATTTACATTTTACAGATTGGGAAACTCAGAGAAGTTAAGCCTAGCTCAGAAGAGAGCATCCCCAAGTTTTCTGTGTGAGCTTCTACTTGATGTTACATTGCTTTCTCCTATCTCATCACTCTCCTATTTCCTCTCACATCACCATGTCCCATACTTCAAACAACTGGCAAAGTATCCAGCCCTTCTCTGCATATTTCATGATTGAATTTCACCACCCTCAGAGAGATATTTTAAGGCATTTCCATTTGTTGATTTTTATATTATCCAGCCCAGCTCCATTTACATTTTTTTAAAAGTGTACAAGTACTATATTTTTAGAGGTCTTTATCAAAATTGTCTCTATCTGGCCACACGGCAAATCTAAACAATTATCAGAGTATTGTACAAGCCATATTCTATTTCCACAAGCAATTAAGTTTATTTTTTAACTTTTTTTAAATTGAGTAATAGTTATTTTATAATGGGTCAAATTCTAGTGTAGAGCACAATTTTTCAGTCATACATGAACATGTATATATTCATTGTCACTTTTTTTTTTGCTATGAGCTACCACAAGATCTTGTATATTTTTCCCGGTGCTATACAGTATAACCTTGTTTATCTATTCTGCATTTTAAAATCCCAGTCTGTCCCTTCCCACCCCCCACCCCCTTGGCAACCACAAGTTTGTATTCTATGTCTATGAGTCTGTTTCTGTTTTGTATTTATGTTTTGTTTGTTTTTTGGGTTTTTTTTTTTAGATTCCTCATATAAGTGATCTCATATGGTATTTTTCTTTCTCTTTCTGGCTTACTTCCCTTAGAATGACATTCTCCAGGGGCATCCATGTTGCTGCAAATGGCGTTATAGTGTCGGTTTTTGTGGCTGAATAGTATTCCATCATAAAATAGACCACATCTTCTTTATGCAGTCATCTGTTGATGGACATCTAGGCTGCTTCCATGTCTTGGCTATTGTAAATAGTGCTGCTATGAACATTGGGGTGCAGGTGTCATTTTGAAGTAGGGTTCTTTCTGGATATATGCCCAGGAGCGGGATTCCTGGGTCCTATGGTAAGTCTATTCCTAGTCTTTTGAGGAATCTCCGTACAGTTTTCCACAGTGGCTTTCCTTGCACAAGCAATTAAGTTTAAAATACAAAAGAAAAAGAAACAAACCCACTTTTGGATATTTTTAAAATTAATTAATTTTTGTGTGTTTTTTTTCGGGGGGGAAGGCAATTAGGTTTATTTATTTATTTTTAGGAGAGGTACTGGGGATTGAACCCAGGACCTCCTGCATGCTATGCAAGCTAAGCATGCACTCTACCCTCCCCTCTGGATATTTTTTTGGAAAGATGTTTAAATAACTCAAATAGGATATTATATTTATAATTAAAAAGCAATTAGTATGGAATTAACTTCTCTGATTAAAGGAGAAAACATAATCCATTAGGCACAGAAATAGAATTCAATACAATTTAATAACCATTTATGATTTTTAAAAAATAGTAAACTAGAAATAGAATTAAATTTCGTTAAACCAACAAAGAGTGAAATAATGGGAGCATTCTCTATAAAATCAGGAAAGAGACAAGTTGCTCACTATTTCTGCTTTCAATATTGTATCAGAGATCCTAGCCACAGCTATAAAAAAGAAAATAAAATGGTTAGAAAGGAGTAAACAAAACTATCATTAGTTAGAGCCTATGATTATCTATTCAAAAAACAAAAGAACACAGCTCCTTCCTCCGCACCACCACCCACAGAGAACACCAGTGTTCTTTGGACATTTTTTCTGTGAGTACTGAGGTAAGAGGACATAGGAGTTGCAAAAGCCCAGGGACAGAGCAGAGCAGCCTAGGATGAAGGGTAGTACCTCTGGTGACAGAACAAAGCCAAGTTCTGGCCTTGCTACTTATCATCCACATGGCAATTTGCTTCCTGTGCCTCAGTTTCCTTTGTAGAGTAGTAACAAGTTATTGATACAATGTAACAATTTTATCAATAACTACAGAATGAGATTGTTGTGAAAGTTAAATGAAACACTTGCAAAGCACCTAGCCTGGTGCCTGATACATAGTAAGTACTCAATAAGTGTTTGCTATCATCTTAATTATTTTTAGGCTTTTGGATTCAGACTGCTTTTCTCTGGCCTTTATTCATTCGTAGGATAAATATTATACAGCATCTACTGCATGCTGGATTTGGTGCTAGGGATCTGGGTTGCACAGACTATATCAGAAGAGGGTCCTGCTTTCTTGTAACTTAAAGACAAGAAACATGATGTGTGAGCTGTGAAGGAGCAATGAAGGGGACTACAGCAACCCCAAAAAAGTACCATATCCAAGGGCTAGGCACCTTCCTTGCCTTCCCACTTCCCAATGTCTGCAGGCAGGTCCCCTCAAGTCCTCAGAAATTCTTCTCCAGGGGCTTCTGAGGAGCTTGGGCTTACTCTCCCTGTCCTTATGAGGGTGGGCAGAGGAGTCTACCCTGAAAACAACTGAATCTTGGCTTCCCATCCCCAGCTCAGGAGCGAACTAGCCTCTGGGTTTTAATGAGCTGCCCCGGGTTAGAAACAGGACGTGACTGGCTGGCTCAGAACCCTGAAGATCTTATTAAAGAATCATCTCCCTTGTACTTTGGGCTGAAATGCTCTTTCCAACCGAGGATCAAAGCAAACTTGACAAACGTTCTCTCATTAATCTCCCATCCCCCTGGGGCAGGAGCAGATCAGTAGCTGTTCTCTCTAGCTCTCAAAGTAGAGAAGCTGCTATGACATCGAGGTGGTGTGCCTGGTGGAAAGACCTCCCCACCAGTCAGAGGCAAAGCAGATACCAGGACCCAGGTGTCCTAGCTGCGGCCACGCCAAGTGTCACCGTAACCCTCCCCCACTCCCATCCCATGCCCCCAGCACTGTCTCTGGAAGAGGGAAAACATCTCATTAGGCAAACAGTCTGACTTACTGGCCCTCAGGAGGCGGAGAGGAGAGAACTGTAAAGGTTATGTGCACACTGCTGCCAGTGCCCTTTTAATTTCCTGCTTAGAATGTTAGACTGCTCTATGGCTTCTCCGCAGCTCAGACCCTCCCTGTGGGGAGCTAGGACTGCCATTAAGGCAGGCAATGTAGACTCAGAGGGTGGGGCCAGGCACCTCTGCCTTCACTTCTCTGGTTACAAGGGTGGGGTTCCCTGGGGGTGGGAATGTGGGAATGGGAGACAGACAATCTGAGTGTTGAAAATTAGGTCCAGGCAATTTATCTGAAAGTGTTTGCAGAATGTATAATGTTAGTTACATAAAGGGATTATAATTATTATACAAACACGAGGGACTATTACAACAATGTGATCATGAGAGCATAATACGTAATGTCATTATAAGGCAGTATAGCAGGCTCCATGGTCAGACCACTTGGGCTGGAACCAGGATTGATCGCTTACTACCACTGGGATCTTGGGCAAGTTGCTTAACCCTCTCTGTCTCAATTTTCTCATTGAAAAATGAGGACAATAATAGTATATATCTTGTGGGATTGCAATGGAGTTGAAAGGAGATGAAACATGTAAGGTGCTTAAAACAGTCCCTAACAAAGTGGGCACTTACCTATTGTGTTTATTATTGTGGTAGTCTGATTACTGGGACAGGAATAGAATTAATTATACACACTTAAAAAGGTAATTATTGGTTGATATCTTAATTTTGTTGGGGGAAGAAATGAAGAAGTTTGGAAGTGAGGGGCAGGAGTTTGAAATTAACTCAATTCTGCCTCATTCCCCAAGGAAAATATGAGTTGTTTGCTGCGGTATTAGATAGAAATCCCACGTTTCTTTGCTGAATTACCTTGGTAATTATGACCCTTCAACAGGACCTAGTCTGTTCTAGGAAAGCATTCATCTATTTATATTTATAATTCCCAGGAACAACCCTTGTTTCTTGCCCTTGTTAATATGTCCCTAGACTTGGGCTGAACTTTTCCAGGACATCTGTGACTCCTGCATTCCAAAAATTCCATCTTTACCCTTGGTAGGCTGGCTTGAAGGAGAAATGGAAAAGGCATAGAGAGAGATCTGAGGGGAACAAAAGAGGGAATAGGTAAATAAGCTTTTGGAATTACTACCAGGGCAACATTAGGAAATCTATCCATGTCACCCTCTATATTAACAGACTAAAGGAGAAACACTGTGTGATCATCTCAGCAAGTGCCAAAAAAGCATTTGATAAAATTTGGCACCCATTCGTAATGGGTAGTGGAGGGTGGGGAACTAAATATAAGAGAGCTAAAAATAGAAAGTAACTAGCATTATTTGCAAACTATATCATCATTTAATTGGAAAACCTAAAAGAATCAATGACAATCTATTAGAACTAATAAGGAAGTTCAACAATGTGGCCAGATACAAGATCTGCATATAGAAATCAGTAACTTTCCTATGTTCTGGCAAAATGAATTAGAAAAATGAAATTTTAAAAAGAGCCTATTTACAATATAACAAAGACTATGCAATAAATGGTAATAAACCCATCGAGAAATAAACAAAACTCATGTGAGGAAAACTATAAAATTTTAGTGAAGATTATAAAGTTGTGAATAATGAAAAGAGATACAATATTCTTAGATGGGAAGACTTGATACTGTAAAGATGCCATTCTCATATTAATCTATAAATTCAAAATAATCCCAATTAAAATCTTAGCAGGATTTTTCATAGAACCTCATAAGCTGATTCTAAACTCATATACAAGATAGGATGGCCAAGAATAGCCAAGAAAAAGAACAATGAGGTGATATATTATAGAACCACAGTTATTACAACAGTGAGTTACTGGAAAAGGATGGAGAGAACAGAATGCAGAGTCCAGAAACAAGTTCATGTTTATATAAGAATTTAGTTATAAGTGGCATTTAAATTAGTGGAGAAGAAATGCACTATTTAATAAACAATCTTGAGATAACTGCTTACCATTTGGAAAAAAAAGATATTTAGAAATATTCTCATACCATTCACACACACACAATTGCATCTGGATAAAGATCTAAATGTAAGACAGAAAAAGCATTAGAAATATGAGGGAAGTGTTTATTACTTTAGGAAAGGAATGTCTTCTTAAATAGGACATAAAACCATAAAAGAAAAGGTTGACACATTCGACCATTTAAAAATTGGACTTCAGTATGGCCAGGGTGGGATTTTTTTCAAGAATGCACAGTTAGTTTGATAGCAGGTATAATATTGAATAATTTACCACATCAACAAAATAAAGAAGGAAAAAAATGTATAAACGTATCAGAAGATCCTCAAAGGACATTAAATAAAATTCTAGACATCCCTGATAACAACTCTGAGTAAAATAAGAACAGATGAAATTACTAATATGACAATGACAATTTGTCCAAAACTAACATCTAAATAGTGAAGCGCTAAAGCCATTTCCTTAAAGATCAAGAATAAGACACGGCTGTTCATTAGCATCATTACCATTCACTGTTTTGGAAGTTCTAGGGAATGCAATCAACAACAAATGAACTATTTGGTGTAAGTATGGAGAAGAAAAGATAAAAAATGATCTTCTGATCCATAATTGTATACTCAGAAAACTCAGTAAGCTCTAATTAAAACCAGTTTTAGGGGGAGGATATAGCTCAAGTAGTAGAGTGCATGCTTAGCATGCACGAGGTCCAGGGTTCAATCACCAGTACCTCCATTAAATAAATAATTAACCTAATCACCCCCCCCAAAAAAACTTAAAAAAAAAGATTAAAAAAATAATTGAGATTAATAAGACAGTTTGAGGGTGACGGGTATAAGGCAGATATATAAAAATCAGTCATGTTTTTCCACACTAGCATTTACCACCTGGAAATGGAGAATGGGGGAGGGTGTTCCTTTCATAAGAGTCACTAAGTCCATAAAGTACTTGGGAATTGTGTTAAAAGGACAATTACAGAACCTATCTGAAGAGACAGAAAATATTATTGAGGGAAATAAATATCTGAACAAAGGCAATAGCCATCTTCTTGTACAAAAAAGTTTAATATAAAATAAATATGTAAATTTACTATAATTCCAGTTGTAATCCCAGTAGCATTTTTTTGGGAGGGGGGTGTTCAGGGAAGGGGAATGGAATTGATAAAATTTTCTTAAAGTCAAATAGGCTGAATAAATGACTGAAAATAGCCAAGCAAATCGTGAAAAAGAAAGCTGGGTGGGAGAGAGGTGGGTCTTCTATAAAAGAATGGAGTGGGAAGAGTGTGGTGTTGGCACAGGAGTAGACAGATTAGTGGAACATAATAGAAAGTCCAGCAATACGCCTTGGGAGAAAAATATAGTCATTTGGATATGGCAAAAATGGTATTTTAAGTGAGAAAGTTACTTATTAACTACTGGTGCTGGCATCAATACTTTTATTCTCTTGTATAAAGTGGAGAGCAGCTGTGGGGAGGAGGTGGAAGAAGACCCCTGAGTGTAGGCTGAGGGGGCACCTGCTCAGGCCTGGGGTTGGATTGGTCCTAATCTCTGTCATGTCTCTGCCCAGGTGTTGCCATGGTGATGGCGGTGGAGGACAGCATGGTGCAGGTCGTGGTGCGGGTACGGCCCCCCACTCCGCGGGAGTTGGAGAGTCAGCGGCGGCCTGTGGTTCAGGTGGTGGATGAGCGGGTGCTGGTGTTTGACCCTGAGGAGCCCGATGGGGGCATCCTTGCCCTGAAATGGGGTGGCACCCATGATGGCCCCAAGAAGAAGGGTAAAGACTTGACGTTTGTCTTTGACCGGGTCTTTGGTGAGGCGGCCACCCAACAGGACGTGTTCCAGCACACCACCTACAGCATCCTGGACAGCTTCCTCCAAGGCTACAACTGCTCAGGTGAGCCCGCCTCCCCCTCAGCTGGGCACTGGTTGAGGGTGTCTCTGGCCCTTGCAGTCTCTGTAGGTCCCCCATTCATTCTTCTCCTGTGCGTGGGCCACTCTGCTGGGCCCTGGGATACAACAGCAGATCAGACAGATATGGTTCCTGTCCTCTTGATACTTACAGTCTAGAGGGGGAGAAGACACTAATCACACAATCACACCCACAGGTGTGTGTTTATAAACCGAGCTAAGTGATATGAGGGAAAGAATTGTGGGCTTTCTAGAGAGGAAGCTACCCAGGCTGGAGAAGGCCTCCCTGAGGAAGGGATAAGCTCCCACCCATGGTGGAGACTCCTTTGCCCTCAAGTTCACAAACCTGTAGAGGGATCAGGACAGGGACATGGAGAACTCAATAGCTGTGGTGCGAACAGGGAAGTGGGTGGGTGGGAGCAGTGGAACCATACGAGCAGAAGGAAAGGAGAGGGGCTTGTGGAGGAAGGAAGGGGTGAGCAGGTGGAAATGCACCAGGGAGCCCCTGGAGAAGGCGAATCTGGCCCTGCCACCACCCTGCTCCCTACTCTCTCCTCTGCAGTGTTTGCCTATGGGGCCACTGGGGCTGGGAAGACACATACCATGCTGGGAAGAGAGGGGGACCCCGGCATCATGTATCTAACCACCATGGAACTATATAGAAGGCTCGAGGCCCGTCAGGAGGAGAAGAGATTCGAGGTGCTCATCAGTTACCAGGAGGTAGGGCTGTTTGCACCCCAGGATGGGGCAGCCCCAACCCTCATTCTCACAGCCACCTGAAAAGGGAGTGAGTGGAGAGGGTATGTTGTGGAGAGGGTGTTAGGGAGTGGGCAGATGGGGACCCAGAGGACGGACACAGCTTGGAGAGAGACCACATGCCAACTGACCCTGCCCATCCTGCTGACAAGATAACATTACACGAAGTGCCCTCACCACGGTGTGTGGTTCGTCATGCTTCCCCGGCCCAGGGACTCAGCCCTCCCTGGGCTGTAGGGGAGAGGCTTCCTGACAGGCCTCTCCCTCCCATCTCTCCCTGGCCCCTTTCTCCTCAGGTGTATAATGAGCAAATCCATGACCTCCTGGAGCCCAAGGGGCCCCTTGCCATCCGTGAGGACCCTGATAAGGGGGTGGTGGTGCAAGGCCTTTCCTTCCACCAGGTAAGACATTGGGCTCAGGTAGGATGAGCAGCCCTTCTGGTCCTCTGGGATCCCCTCACCAGGCAGTTTGGGGGTGTCGTAGATCCTGCGGTGGAGGTGGTGGTGATAGCAGGTGGGTAACTGGTTCTGAAGAGCAGCCCACTGCTGGGGGGAAAGTCCTGGCTGGGGCAACCACAGCCCCTTTCCTGCGCATCTCCTCTGTAGCCGACCTCAGCTGAGCAGCTGCTGGGGATGCTGACCAGGGGAAACCGGAACCGCACGCAGCACCCCACTGACGCCAATGCCACTTCCTCCCGCTCCCATGCCATCTTCCAGGTGAGAGTGTCACGGGCCAGAGCCTGAGGCTGGGGCTCCTGAGGCCCAGTACCTCTTCATCCCTGCTGTCTGCCCCCAGATCTTTGTAAAGCAGCAGGACCGGGTTCCAGGCCTGACCCAGGCCCTTCAGGTGGCCAAGATGAGCCTGATTGACCTAGCTGGCTCGGAGCGGGCGTCCAGCACCCATGCCAAGGGGGAGCGGCTGCGGGAGGGAGCCAACATCAACCGCTCGCTGCTGGCCCTCATCAATGTCCTCAATGCCCTGGCCGACGCAAAGGTAAAGCTGCGCAGAGCCAGAGTCCTCCCCAGAACAGTGCCCAAGTGCCCGAGCCAAGGCTCCCTCCCTCCAGCCCTGGACCAAAGGCTGCTGAGTCTCAGCCTGGGTCTGTCTGGTCCAGCCACCTCACCCCACACCCACCTGCTGTCCCCAGGGCCGCAAGTCTCACGTGCCCTACCGGGACAGCAAGCTGACCCGCCTACTCAAGGACTCCATCGGGGGCAACTGCCGCACAGTGATGATCGCTGCCATCAGCCCCTCCAGCCTGGTCTACGAGGACACTTACAACACCCTGAAGTATGCCGACCGGGCCAAGGAGATCAGACTCTCGGTGCGTGCCAGCTGGGGTGGCCTGGAGTAGGGGAGCGGGAGGAGACCCCAGCTGGCAGGAGGAGGGGACAGGACCCCCTGGCTTCCTCTGGTACCTGGAGTGAGCATTCCCACACGGCCACGGGAAGAGTTCTCCAGCCTCTGTCTTCAGGGAAATTCTATGTGACAAATGTGACACAGTCCTCGCCCTTAAAATATCAGAGCACTGGGGTGATTGAAGCAGAATCATCTCAAGAGGGATGTAACATAAGAGAGTCGCCGAGTGTCGACCCATGATCTTTGTCAGACTTGATTTTAGCAGCAGGCCCATATTTTTGGCAAAACAACATAAACACCAACATATAGCACAGATAAAAGCAGAGTTGCTCCAGGTTCCCTGCCTCCTCTAGGGAGCTCTGGCACTCCTGGAGTCACTGCTGCAAAGCCCCTGGCCTGGTCAGAGTGTGTTGGTCCGGGAGCCAGGGGTCTCGGGTTCAAAGGCAAGATCTGCCTCTTGCTATTAGGCGAGCCACAGTCTCCCTGTTTCCCCAGTCGTGAGGGTGAGTTGCAGGAATGTGAGTGAGGTGCTAGTGCAGTGCTGGCCATTGGTTGCCAACAGCTGCTTTGAATGAGCAAACAGATTTCTCCCCTCCACTGTGCCCCCATCTCAGCTGAAGAGCAACGTGATCAGCCTGGACTGTCACATCAGCCAGTACGCCACCATATGCCAGCAGCTCCAGGCTGAGGTGAGGAGCCAGCCTGGGGGTCTTGGCTGGGAGGCAGGGCGCCCAGGCTCGGGGGCAGGAGAGCGAGAGACGAGAGCACTGGAGTGCGGCCAGGGCCCTCTGCCTGCTCCTCGCCTCCTGTGCTCACCTGGGGCTCTGGCGGGGGCTGGGCTGCTTCTTTCCAGGTGGCCATCCTGAGGGAGAAACTCCAAGTATATGAGGCAAGAGCCCAGGTCCCACAGCAGGACCTCCCACAGTCCCCCAAATCCAGCCCTGCACGTCAGCTGTGAGTTCTGCCCCGCTCTGCCGCCATCCTTTCTCCAGCTTCTGGAGGGCTAGGACTCCTTGCTTCTGCCCTGGCACCTGAGGTTAGGGCTTCCCACTCAGTACCCAGCACCCTGATTGCCACCTAGAATGCTCTGTGTCAAAGGAGTAATCACACTCCAGCTCCTATAAGCTCCTATTCAAAACAATGTGCAGTTAAGGGATGGGTGTCAATGTTTCCTAAACCAGAAAATCCCTGACTCCTTCTCCCACCCTCAGCTACTGCTCATGTGTTACCCAAGCATCCCCCACTTATAGACTCTGTACCACCAGGAACCACAGAGACCCTGCCCCTTCCCTGCTTTGCCCACCTGACCCTGCTTCCTGCCTCTCAAATCTCTCCTTCCCCTCTTAGCCTTCCAAGCCAGCCCTGCACCCCAGAGCTCTGCCCAGGGTCAGTGGTCCTTCAAGAGGAAAGCCTGGGGACAGAGGCCCAAGTGGAAAAGGTCATGGAAAGGAACTCTTCAGACAGGGAGCAGCCCCTAGAGGACAAGGGTGAAGGCCCAGCTGCGGAGGTAGGACTTGGAGCTCATGGAATATTGGAAGAAATTCTTGAAGAAGATGTGTCGTCCCCACCCTCACCCCAACTCATGGGTCCCTTCAGTCCTGGGTTCTCCACCCAGATGTCTTACATCTCAGTCCTTAGGAGCCTTTCAGATCTTGTGCAGGAAGAATTATTCTGTCAGATCCGTGTGTCTGGAAGTAGAGAGCATGTGTGTTACCAGAAGGGGAGCAGGGAGGGAGGACAGTGATGGGGAGAGAGAGATCCCCTACCAGGACCTGGTCATTCTAGAAGCTGTCATTTCCACTCTTGGAGGAGGGACAGGTTTTAGGAGCTGCGTACGTAGAGGGAGGCCGTCCTCATCCCTCTACATATGACTCCCTCCCTCTCTAGGTTCCAACCCGAGTGCCGGAGCAGAACCTCAGACAGCCATCACCAGGGTCCCATGACCCAACGCTGCAGCCCAAGCCAGTTGTCGACCACCTCTTACCACAGAACCAGAGCAGGGACCGTTCTAAGCAGTAGGTGTCTTCTTGCTCTCCTCTGGGGTCCAAGGTGGGAGGTAATGGGTTCCAGGCCTCTTGCAGCAGGAGTTGGTGCTAAGTACATCACAAAAGCTCTGTTTCTGCTCTAGTTAAAGAGGCAAGTCTTTTTTCATCAATAGTGTCCCTTACCTGCTTTCAATAATTTGGTATTGTCACCTACTCTGTTTATTTACCATCTCTATTTATTACTCCTTGTAGCTGGCAGCTCAACAGGAGGGACGCAAAATACCAAATTCCATCCGGGCAGCCGGCCAGCGCCGGGTTAGGGCAGGGTTCCTGGGCTGATGCTTTGCTTTCCAGTCTGAGGGCCAAGCTGCCCGCGCTCAGCAAGAGGGGAGCAGCCAAGAGAAGCTGGGCAGCTGCGGAAGGGACAGCCTTCCTGAGTCAGGTGTTCACCATGTGTCTTTATTAACAGATTGGCTGTGGCTATTTCTTCTCAGAAGTAAATACAAACTACCACCCAAAGCCAAAAAGAGAAATGGCTTTTGGACTGTTCTTTCGGTGCTTAACAGAGAGGTGCTGCTCGTATTTTTTTCCTTGGCCCTCAGAACATAAATCCCTTGCCACTTAGCTTTGCTGCTGCCAACCTTGCACCCCTCCCTCCCCAGCATGCTTTATGCTAGGCAGAGTATTTAAAGCTTCCGGACAGAAGGGCCTGTTTAATTTTATTTCTCGTCGTGGAGTGTCTGTTCCCGACTCAGCAAAAAATGCTGCAGCCTGAATAATCAGCGGCTCATTATCTGTCTCCTGCTGCTGACTCCCCAGGGCCCCGGAGTGGCAAGGATGCACTGGCGGGATGTCCCCTTGGCCCCCAGGGAACAACCATGGGCTCCCACTGATGACTCAGGGTCTCTCTGCCTGGAGTCCCCCATTTTGAGGAGAGAGGACACCAGGGTTCTCATTTCTGCTTTGCCTCTGGCTTTGTGGTCTCTGACAAGTTGCTTCAACCTTGGCTGTGATTTGGGCATCATGGTCCTTTTTCTGCCTACTTCTTAGAGCTAATAATAGATACAAATAAAATGTGCTGGAAGACCCCAAGTGTCAGGGGCTGCAGGACATTCTAGATCATCTCCATACTTGGAAACACCCGGACAACCAGATAATCAAAAATAATTTGACTTTGGCTTTTGAATTTAGAGTCTTAGACCACCAGGGCACTGAGTAGATCTTAGATTTTCCAGTTCAGTGGTTTTTCAGAATTTCTTTTTTTTTAGCAGCAAAGCCCTTTCTTCAAATGAAATGTTACACTGAGGTCTAATATGTAGAACAGATAAAGCAGAGCTGCTCCATCTAAAATATCCTCTGATGAGTTTCTTGAAACCTAAATTGAAAACCCATGATATAGATCAGCTCCCCATTTGCTGGGGCCACAGGGTGGGAGAGGCGGGGCCAGACCCCAGTCATCTGACATCCAGGTCAGTTCATTTCTCCCCAGATGCCCACTTTTCTCAGTGGTCTTATCTTCATATAATGTGTGGTGCACGCAGATATAGAATAAATTTCTGCTGTTCCCTTTTTAATTTCTATCCTGCCTTCTTTCAAAAAGGCCTTGAGGCTGCTTTATAAAATGAGTTTGTGTTCCCTGAGCACACACTGAAGGCAGAGGAGGGGGCTCAGAGATGTCCAGGCTGCTAGTGCTGCCCGGGGATAAATGATTGGCCATGAATAATCCCCACCGAGGTAATTGTGTTTATCCTTTTACCATGGGTGTGCCTCACAGAAAGGAAATTTGCTTTATTAGAATCTAAATTTACAACATCAATAATCGCATTACCCTTGTAATTTCCCTTAACTAGCCCCTCAGTGCATGTGAAGTGTGCGTTAATACACACATACTCTTTCAGGATCCCAATCATTAAGTGGAAAGCTCAGACTGATTGCATTTTTGAGGGTCTCCTCAGATCTGAGATCAACACGGCCTATCTTATTTAATCTCCTCCTATCCTAACAAGGTAGATGGTATTATTATTATTGTAGAAAACAAGAGTTCGCTAACATTATAGTGCTTAGTATGTGCTAAGTACTCTTTAAACACTTTATGTGTAAAATAACCCATCTCATTGTCCCAATGACCCTGTGTGGTAGCTGTCGTCCTCATTTTAGGGCTGTGGGCACTGAGGGTAAACAGTGATTTGAGATCACACAGCTAGGAGATGTTGGAGCTGGGATTTGGGCTGTTAGTTTGCCTTGAGCCTGGCTCTTCGCTGCTACCTTCCATTGCCCCTCCGCGAGACAGACTTACTCAAGATCACAGCACCAGTAGGTGGCAGAGATGAGAGGAAACTCAGACCTTCTGAGTCCACTTAATGCCCTTTCCCTGCTTTCCAGGTACTGTCAGGGGACATACTTGGCGGCTAAAGCCTCCCTCTGTTACCTGTGGTCATCTTGGCCTTGGTCGTGGCAAGGTGGGAGCCACGGCTGGGAGGGTGATGAGGCAAGGCTGCAGGGGGCCAGGGGGCCAGTCCGCGTGGCTTCTCCCCACACCTGGAGTGATGGGGCCCGGTGCTCGGCGGAGAGGACCTGGCCTGGCCCGTCTGAGGCAGAGCGGGAATCCCTGTCCCTCTGTTCCAGGTTGGCCCTCAGGGTGCTATGCCTGGCCCAGCGCCAGTATTCCCTACTCCAAGCAGCCAACCTCCTGACCCCTGACATGATCACAGAGTTTGAGACCCTGCAGCAGCTGGTGCAAGAGGAAAACATTGAGCCTGGAGGAGAGGCCTCGAGGGAGCCTGGCCCAGCCAGAGGGCCGCCTCTGGCTCAGGAGCTGCGTTCAGAGTCAAGTGAGTTTCAGCCCTGCTCTGCTTCTGCCTCCTGGTGCCGTTTCCAAGGCCCAGCTGGTGCTGAGGGATGGCTGGGGCCTCAGATGCTGGGTTACAGTTCGGTCAGAGACTAGACCCCTGGGGTCATGGACTTCTGCAGAGAGGTCTCAGGAGTCATGAAGACCTGAGGAATCAGGGGCTCCTGCCTGTCTCCATGTCTCTCTCCCCAAATTCTACAAATTCTCCTTCCTTCTGGCCAATCCCTGATCTCAGCTCAGCACCCTCCTTCTCTCTGCCCAGAGCCTCTAGGATACTCTGGCCCCGTGACACGGACCATGGCGAGACAAATGAGTGGCCTCATACATGCTCTGGGGGTCCCACCTGGGCCTGACCACACCCCAGTCCAGGCATCCCGGCGACCCGCAGAGAAGAAGAGGGGGAGACAGAGCCCCTCGGAGCCAGACAGCTCCCCAGCCCCGAAGCCTGGGACCAAACGCCAGCGCCAGTCTTTCCTGCCCTTCCTGAGAAGGGGGTCCCTGCCTGAGGCTCGGCCTTTGTTCGGGCCCACCACCCCCCCAGGAGGAAGGGCCTCCTCATCCAGCCATTCCACTCACTGCTGCCCAACCACAGTCATCAAAAGTCGGGTACCCCTGGGCCCTTCCGCTCTGCAGAACTGCTCCACTCCTCTGGCCCTGCCCACACGGGACCTCAATGCCACCTTTGATCTCTCCGAGGAGCCCCCCTCAAAGCTGGGTTTCCACGAATGTGTCAGCTGGGACAGTGTTCCCCAGGCGCTGAGCAGGTGGGACCAGCCCGTCATCCCCAGGTGGGTCTCCCTTCCGGCTTCCCTCCAGACCTCCCCTAAGGGAGTCAGGGGTCCTTGTGCAACAGTGGTGCTGCCAGAGGGAATGGAAGACAGTCCCACACTTGGAGCTGGGACTCTGCATCTCTTCCCCTTGGTCTGACCAGCATCCAGGCCCAGGAGAGCAAAACATGCAGTACCTGTGGAGGTGTTGCTTCTCTCGGCGGCCCTGCCTTATCTGGACTTCAAAGCCACCAGCTTCGTGCTGGTCTGTGACACTCCCATGAGTGGCTCAGAGATTGCCCTTGGGGGTGGTCAGCAGGGAGCAGGAGATGTGGAGGGGAGCCCAGCCCTGTCTATTCCTCCGCATCACTCGGGCCTGCTCTGCGTTCTGTGTCCCACTGAGAAATCCCTGTTTCTGCCACTTCCACTCCCAGGTTTTACCCTCCAGCCCAGCAGCTGGAACTGGGAAGGGAATCCTGAGAAAACTGTATTCAGCATTTTTCAATGAGAAAATGAAGCTCTCACTTTTGCCTTTTGCCCACCTGGCAGGGTAGGGGAACAGCAGGGTAGGGGAACAGTGACTAGCTCAGGACAGTCCAAGGCCGAGTACAAGTGGCAGCCTGACCTGGACTCGGGAGACCAAGGGCGGCAGGATGCCCACCGCACCCCTGCATCCCTCCCACAGCCCCAACCACCTCTCAGTAATAAGCTCAGAGCCAGGCAGGTGGAAGGGTGAAATTGTTTGAACTCCAGTTCCCCGGATGTGCCAGAAACTGACATCTGGATGTTCTCCCAGAACAGGCCTGTCACTCAACTGTCAGCCCAGGCCGAGTGAGGCAGGGAGGGGAATCCGCCTCTTAGTGGGAAGAAACCTCAGAGGTCATCTTGTCTAACCTCCCTGCCCTGCAAGCGGGGGCTGGAGGGAGGAGGTGCTGGCACCCTTTTCTGGTTCCCCTCTGATCTGCCTCCCTTCATCTTCCTCCCTCCCCAGTGGACCCATGCCTCTGTTCACAATGAAGGGCCCCAAGCCAGCATCCTCCTTCCCTGGGCCCTCAGCCCGCAAGAAGAAGCGTGTTGTCAGGTGAGGTTGGGGCAGTGTCGGGGGCAGAGAAAGAGCTTTCACCAGACCAACTACAGCCCTGTGTGTGTGTCTCTGGACCCCTTGATCCAGCAGCAGTGGGGTCTAGTGAGCAGGGCCAGTATCTGGTTGTCTGACTGAGGTTCACTTGGTTCTTGCTATTATAGGATTATTCTAGAGACGAAGCATGTCTCCCTCCTTTAGTAAAGGCCACAGGCCTCCTCTCCATGAGGGAGACATTCAGTGTTCACTGGGTAATCCAAGGAATGGCCTACCCACCCCATCACCACTACTTCCCTCCCAAACCCCACTCAGCTCCCCTTGCCCTGCTGCCAATCCTGCCTTCAGGTCTGGCCTTGAGAGCTCCTGTTGGTGTTCAGCCTCCCCCTGCTCTCATGGCCTGGTGTCTAGCTCTACCCCCACCCCCAGCCCCCTGTAGTCCAGAGGCATGGCTGTGACCTTCCCACCTTCCTTCCTTCTCTCCCATAGTTCCTCAGTCTCCCGGTCACTGGGAGTCACCCGGGGCCGCAGCCGCATCGCCCGCCTCCCCAGCAGCACCTTGAAGAGGCCAGCTGGGCCCCTGGCAATTCCAGGTGACTGGCATTTGGGGACAGGAATGGTCTGGACCACAGTGGCTGATGAAGACCAGAAGTAGGAGGAGACAGGGTGGGCTGAGACCCAGATGAGAGGAGGGCCTGGGGACTTCCAAGTATCTCAGGGACACTGATGGGATATGGATGGGGAATGGTGGGACACAGCCTCACTTTTCTCTTTACTCCCTGCTTCCCCCCATCCAACTGGCCTGCAGAGCTCCCCTCCAGTCCCCACTGCCCTGGAAACTAGAGGAGCCAGAAGGAACTGATGGGAGTCAGGGGAGTACTGTCAGCTGGGAGTTGCTCCACCAAGTTTCCTGAAGCCACCTGCACCAGGAGCCCTGACCCACCGTCTTCAACTCGGAGCAGCTAATGCCAACACCCTCTTCCTTTATTAATACTCTTCCCCCCGCCGCTCATTCTGCTACTTACCCTCTTTATCAATCTCTTGTTACACTCAGCTTCTTAGCCTGTATATATTCATTTGTGTGTTAGTGTGTTGCTATTTTAAAAGGTGCTGCCATCCTTCCTCTCTAGTTTATTACCCTCTCTGTGCAGGAAAGTGGCTTTGGAGGGCCTTTATTCCCCATCCCCATCTAACACAGGGCTCTGTGCAGTGATGGCCACTGTGCAGTAGAGGTGGGATGAGCATGGGATGGGGGTGTGGGGGAGTCCCAGCTTGGCTCTTCCTAGTTTGAGAGAGAGCAAGAGAGAGATGGAGGGAGAGAGGAAGAGAGAGAGACAGGCATCTTCAGCCCCATCCCCCCAGCCTGGAGCAAGAGCCCCAGCCCCATGCCACAGTCCTGGTGATGATGCAGATGGTGGTGCTTTGATTTCCACGTGAAGATAAGCTTATTTTTACCCTTTTGTAAACAGGATACACACTCAGTGTAAAAAGACATGTAAAGAAGAAAGGGAAATTCAGCCTTAATGCTGGTGGTCCTAGACATAAGAAGTGTTAATACTTGGGTTTATATCCTCTGATCCTTTATTTCTGCATATATACATTTATATATATATATATACACATACACACATATGTAGATATAGATATATTTTTTTATTATAATGATTAATAAACCATCTCCATCCTTGGTGTGTGCTTCTCTCTGTACACTTTGGTAGGATAGCAACATCTTCCCACTCTTCAAGACCTCAACTCCTGGGTTTAAAAAACATTCCCCTCTGCCTGCTCCTGCAGCCTTAGGTTTGGGCCTAGGGTTGCCCCATACTCCGCAGCCCCATCCTCAGCTGAGGGCCTCTGCTCCTTAGCGGGTAAAGAAGCTATCACACCCGGAGGCCTGCTCCATCCTCCTACAGCCTGGGCATGGGTTGCTGGAGTACTGCCATCAGGGAGAGAGCCGTAGTGGTCTCCAGGCTCCAAGCTAAGCCCCGACTTGCTTGAACCCATTGCAGTCTTCCCCCCACCAGCTCTCCTCTCCCCACCCCTGTTCGTGGCTTTCGTCTCCTGTCATTTGGATTGTGACAATTCAACCCAAGTTTACCTCTGTCTCCCCAGGAAGATGTGGCTGGCTGCATGAATGAATAGCGTAAACAAAATTACAGGAGTCTGTGTTTAACTTGCTTCTGAAAACAAACACGTTAAAGGCATTTAGCACTTTGTGAGTGGTGTGTAAATAATGTGGCTAATTTCAAATGAGTCCTCACTGCTCTGGGTGGAGGGGGGCAGCAGCCTCCCCCTCTACTTGGGGCGCCCTCCCCACTCAGTTTCTCCACGTCCTTTTGGAGGAGCAGAGAGGAGACCGCTGCATTTTTATCAGCTGCAGGCATCTCACGAAACTCCAGGACCTTATGCGGCATAATGAGGAAATAGACAAAGGTTAACCAAACGTGCCCGGAGTTAGACGGCAAGTAGCAGTACCAGGATTCAGACGAGGGTCTGGAGCTGTGCATGACACCAAGCTGCTTCCCGTTAGAATTGAGCAGACATCATTTCTTTCTGCGGGCCCTCCCTCCCAATTAGTCATAATGAGTTTTTTTCCCCTGTATACCACGATTCCCACAGAAGGAGTCACAGCCTCACATCTGTAGCCCCCAGCGGCCTGGTGTGGTGCCTTGACCTCAGCAGGCCTCACTGAGTACTGGTTGGACTCAAATTGAATAACTTCCCCATTTCCTGGGGCCTTCACATATATTATCTCATTTGATCGTCACCATCACCCCTGCAAGTACAGAGGCAGCAGGAGCTGGGCAAAGCTGCTGGTAACCAGGGCCAGGAGGGCAAGTTTCGCACCACAGGCTCCATTGCATGAGGCAGAATCTGCTTGGGCTGGGGGCAGCTCGCAAGGGGAGGAGGTCACTCTTGACAAGGATGTTCTGCAGTCGGCCATCCGCTCAGCAAACATTTGTGGCTCCGTGGTGCAAAATGTGCTCTCCGGTGACCCATTAAATGTACAAAGACTCTGCCGATGAAGTTAAGCACTTGTGGCTCCTGCCCTCAATCACAGGAGGTCGGGCTGAGGGGAGGCAGCCTGGCTGGTCCGGGGAGCTGGCAGGGGCTGAGGGGGGCAGCGAGCTGACAGCCAAGCTCTCAGCTGACCTCTGTGGGCAGTGATGAGGCTCTGAGATTGGATTGTTCTCACATAGAGTCATCCACGAGAGGTGGCAATCGATGGCTCCCCCATCCACTGTGGGTCTGCCTGCTCCAAGGCCCCCTTCCGTTTCAGCCTGCTTCTTCCACCTTGGGGCCCTGGGCAGAGCCCCTCTCTCCACTTCTGGGACTTTAGAAGTTCTCTCTTCCAGGTTATTTGCACCAACCCCAGGCCCCATAGCTCATGTCTGGACTTCACCCTTGGGCACAAATTCCTGCCCAGTTCAGAGAATCAGGCTCAGTGCCAGGAGCTGCAGACACAGAACAAGACATGGTCCCATCACCACAGAGACTCAGGATGGAGTCCTTGTCACCTGAGTGTAAACCCAGACCTCCATCAGTGTTGGAACCTGTCAAGGGGAGAGGACTGGGCTTTTTCCACCGGGTCCTCCCCACCCCCAGCCATCGGCTTGGCTCCCACAGGGGATTTCATGCGGAACCTCCTTGGCAGCTGCTAATTTAGGCGTCCTGCCTCCCAGATATCTCCCTGCTCATCTGCCTCCAAGTTCCCCAGAATGTCCCTTTGGCTCTTGGCTAGGTTTGGTTAGGATCCTGGCTGTCTTCCCCTCCTCTATGGTTCTTTTGTGAAGAGGGACCCAGGAGGGCTTGCAATGAAGTTTGTAGTGGGAGGAAGGGGCGAGAGTCACCCTCAGCGGCCTGGAGACCATGGTTGTGTTTTCCAACTCACCCCTGGAGTCCCCTCGGCTCGCCCGCAGCCCTGCCTCTCCTGGCTCATCCTGTCCATTTGGAGGGTCACTGGATTGGAAATAACAGGCTGCCCGCTAGCCCTCTCTCCCCACCAGGGACACATCTGGTCCCCGCCTCTCCCCCTCCCAAAGGGACGCAGTCAGGCAGGGAGATGGAAGGGAGTGGGGAGCAGAGCAGATCAGGGAATGCAATTAAAGAGCTGGTGTCAGGGTTAGAGGCTGGGAGGTGGGGGGCAGGCTAGAGGGAGACTGGCTGGGTGGGGAGAAATGGGGGGAGCAAGTGCCCAACCTTATTAACCCCAACGCAGCAGCGTAGCCCCTGGGTCTGTGAAGTCACCTTCATATGAGCTGATGCTACCAATGGCTGAGGGGCCAGGGAAGAGAAGGGGAAGGAGTCTAGGGGTTCAGCCAGGAACCATTCTGCAGCCACAGAAGTTGGGCTTTTCTAACCAGCAGAGCCTAGCTGAGGATGGGAGAAGGAACTGTCCTGGCTTGGGGCAGCCGTCTTCCAACAGAAAGGAGAGACAAACTCTGCCCTCAGGATGCTCCCAGCTGACAGTGAACCATGGGTTCTCATATCAGGTGGCTCCCATCCAAGGGGAGAGAGTGGCTCCTGTCTGTGGGTGCCTGAGTTTGAAGGAGGAGACAGACACTATTTTTAGGGGGCTCCCAGTCTGATGAGGAGACATAGGTCTAGCATCAGGAAGTCCCCATCTGTCGGGGTTGGGGTGTCGTGTCCCTGGGAAGCCTCAGGCTGAAGTGCAGTAGGGACCCACACCCAGGACAGATGTTGACACACCAAGAGCTTTCCAAGCCAGTGGAGCTGTGGGCCTCAAGCATAGAGTTGGGGAAGGGCAAGGATGGAGGGACAGAGCCCACTGGGGGAGTCGGGGAGGTGAGAAAGCAGGGTGGGAAACAACCTCTCCTGAGACTCCTCCAGGACATTGGGACATAACTCTCACATGTCCCCTGGGAGACCCAAAGCCACAAACAAGTAGTGGTCTGGGGGCAAATGGCACTGACTCCCAGCCTCTCTTCACTGGCTGCTTCCCTGCAACACACACACATTCTGTCCACACCGCCAGGTTACTGTCTTTTGTGGAGTCCTGCCCACACACTGTCACTGCCCAACCCCAATGGAATCAATGGGACATGGGAGCTCCCCTGGAAGACCCAACTCCCACCCCCTACCAGGCCCACCCCATCACAGATATGCCAACACAGAAACAGGTAAAGCACCCAGTAGGTGTTATTAAATGGAAGCTATGACTTGTGGAGCACCTGCTGAGACCAGGGTTCATGATGTTTTTCCTCATAACTACCTTATAAGTGAGTATGTAGAGTCCCATTTTACAGATGTGGAAATAGAGACTCAGAGAAGGTTCCTGAGTTGGCCAAGATCAAACAGCTATTGAGTAGCCATGGCCTTGCTCCAGCCCCTAAAAGGCACTGCCACAGCAGTCAGAGGCACACCTCTGGGTGGTGCACATTTCGGTTTCCGAAAACCTGCCTAAAGCTGTGAGACCAGCTTTCTTCCTGCCTCCAAAGGGTTCCAAATGGCCAAGGCGCTGCTCGGACCTGGGCAGCTGAGCACTGCCATCTAGTGGTTACTGGGGCTCCATTCCCTTCCTCAGGGATGGGTCACGGGTTAGATGGACTTAGCAAGGGGTTGGCCAGAGACCCATGTTCTCTTCATCCCACTCATGCGGCTGACCGCCATGCTGTGCCAGGCACTGGGAGAAGGGCAGGGGCACAACCAAAGCCAGTGGGCAGAAGTCGAGGGACAAAAGGGTGTCCAGACATCCCCTCCCCACAGCCCACAGCATTCTGCTATCTGGTCCAGAAGTCAGTCTAGGGACTGGCCTGAGGCTGGAAATGATGAAGCCCTCTGACTAGGGAAGCAGGAGAGGAGGCGCCACAGAGACGGGACCCTGAGCCAGGCCAGCAGGGTAGGGTAGAGGTGGAGGCTGGGAGCTGTGCCCGCCTGGGGCAGATACGTATCATAATGTGATCTAGAGCAGAGAAAGAGGGACATACTTGGCCAAGAATAGGGCTTGGTTACATTAATGCATGTAGTGGAAAATCATGCAGCTGCTAAAATGATGATGTAGATAAATATTTATTGATATGGAAAGATGTTGTCGACATATTGTTGAGTGAAAAAAGCAAATTACAAAATAATTTGTACCACATGAGGCCACTTAAAAAAAATAAATTTCTATGTACAGAAAAAAATCTGGTCATGTTTATATCTCCAGGTGGCAGAATTATGGCTAACTAATTTTTTTGTTTTGTTAATCTGTGTTTTCTGATAGATTCTCTATGTGGACATCTTCAGATAGTAAAGGGCTGAGTGTGGGGATGGTCTGAAGATCAGATGGGGGTTGAAGAGGAAGTGAGAAGGCCTGGGCTTGTGACGGGGGCTCAGCGAGGTGGCTGAAGGGGTGAAGAGGGGACCTCATCTGCCGCTGCTAGAACAAGCCTGTGTCTCACAGACAAAGGTACAGTGACTGAGCATCCCTGACAAGCCCTTCCTGCTCTATTACATCTTTTCCCTCCAGGACCGCTTTGCGCTCATTTCAACTAGATTTCACTTGTACAAAGAGAGAAGGCCAAACACTGTGACTTGCCTGGCAAGCTGGAAGGACAGCCACTCCTAGCCACGGAGAGAGGTTGGAACAAGGGTTTGTCCTCCAGTTTTGTTCTTTCTTTAACCCCAACCCCACGTGGTCCTTCCCTAGCTCCCCAACCCGCAACAGGATCAAGACACTGGACATCCCTCCTCAAGATTCCCCCCTCCCCATGATACTGCTCAGGTCCAGGGTCAGAATTAGGGACTCTCGTCTCTCTCCCTGCCTGAGACTCATGGGGAAATCTTGGCAAGCAGCCCATAACACACCCAAATGAAGAGCATCTCTCGGGGTGTTGGAGGAGGGGGCATTGCCTGGAGAGGAACTCAGGGGATGAGCTGGCTCTGAGGGCTGGGGAGGGGGGCAAGGAGCCAGGCCTTGTCTGCAGAGCTGGAGACCTGGCAGTGCTGGGCTACCCCCCACAGCCTTCCCCTGGTGCCCACGGAATGACTCACCTTGGCACAGAGACAACGGTCAGAGGTGGGCACAGAGCCTGCTCCCCACTGCACCCCAACCCCCCTCAGATGCTTTCCGAGAAGCTCTTTGTGCAAGGGACTTGGGCTGCACCCTGCCTAACAGGCTGGCATCTTGGGATAAAAACAGCACAGCCCCCTGGGGGCTGCCCTCACAGTGCGACACCCTCACCGGTGGTGGAGAACAAGGCTCCATTCAGCAAGTGCCCGGGAAAAGGGCTCAGCGGCCCAGGCATGGGCAGTGGGCAGGGGTGGGGGCAGGGAGAGGAAGGCTGCCACTTCCCAGAAGTCCAGGGACACAGACGGGTGAGGGGCCCAGGCAGGATGCTGACCCTGCAGGACCAGATAGAAAGGGTGAGTGGATCTGAAATCTCAAGGAGCAACAGGGCTCAGGCCCCAGGCTCCCAGTTTGGATCCACTGGCTCCTAGGTTCCCAAACTTACCCCTCCCCAGAGACCTTTCCCAGCTTCTCAGCCTGGTATGTGGGAACTCGAAGGAAATAAATCTCCAGCATGAGAGTGAGGTGAGGGGTGGCCAGGGAAACAGGGTGTTACAGGAACAAAGATGGAAGTCAGGACAGCCAGCTCATTCGTAACTGCTTTGTGGAGCTGTCAAGGCCTGGGCTCTGGGTGGGGGTGCAAGGAGGCTGAGCAAGGAAGGGGTGAGCACAGTGGGGCTGAGGCCAGGGATTAAGAGTGGCCCAAGGAGAGGACCAGGGAGGGCAGCACCGGCCCCCTCTTTCCTATCAAGGGCCCCATGTTCCTTCCATCATCCCCTCCACTGCTAGATAGAGGCCTTTATTGACCCTTCAGACAAAGGGCTGGTTCTAATTACAGCCCACAGCCCCACAACTCCAGGGAACAGAGAGAAAGCAGGAATGCTGGATGCCTGTATTCAGAGGGGAGGTCTCTGGGAATCTGTTGGGAATGAGGCTGGAAGGAAACTGTAACATAGGCTGTTCCTTGAGGGCTCAGAACAGACTTGTTCTTCGCGAATTCCCAGCATCTAGCAGGCTCTCAAAGGAGAATGCTGAGTGAGGGAAGGCCTGGGTATGGGATCTAAGAGTTAGAAGGCAGGTCAGAGGTCATCTGGTCCAGCCCTTCCTTGACCCACCTTCCTAGAGAAAGGGTCTCCTTGCCCAGTGGTCAGAGCCCCAGACTTAGCATCTGCCCCAGGCACTGCCTACTAGTACCTCTGTCTGTAGCCAGGCCGGGGCTGGCGTGCCCAGGAGGCCCTGCCTCTGGGCACAGTGACCTCGATGGGGTGAGAGGAGCTCTCCCCATGGCTGGGCCACAGCCCAGCCCCACCTCCTCAGACTATGCCAGGGGGCGTTGCCGGGGGCAGCCTGGGCCATGCCAGGCCGGCCCACTCCTCCATAAAGCCTGCACATCCCAGGAGCGGGCAGAGCCGGGCCACAATGGAGAGGAGACGGGTCACCTCATCTGCTCGCCGCTCCTATGTCTCCTCCTCAGAGATGGTAGTGGGGGGCCGCCGCCTGGGTCCTGGCACCCGCCTGTCCCTAGCTCGAATGCCACCTCCACTGCCGGCCCGGGTGGACTTCTCCCTGGGCGGGGCACTCAACGCCGGCTTCAAGGAGACCCGGGCCAGCGAGCGAGCAGAAATGATGGAGCTCAATGACCGCTTTGCCAGCTACATTGAGAAGGTGCGCTTCCTGGAACAGCAGAACAAGGCGCTGGCTGCCGAGCTGAACCAGCTGCGGGCCAAGGAGCCCACCAAGCTGGCCGACGTCTACCAGGCAGAGCTGCGCGAGCTGCGGCTGCGGCTGGATCAACTCACTGCCAACAGCGCCCGGCTCGAGGTGGAGAGGGACAATCTGGCACAGGACCTGGGCACCCTGAGGCAGAAGTGAGGAGGGGGTTGTGGAGGGGCCTTCGTGAAAAGGGAGGACTGAGCCCCCAAGAGGGATCACCTGCAGGCCTGCAGGGTCTCAAGCAGGGGCTTGGCCTCCCTGCCCATGGGTTTCTCCGTCTCTGGGAGGGGAGGACTGTCTTTGCTTCCAAAGGTGGTGGGGGGCCTGGGAGGAGGCCCCAGAGTCTCAGGGATCTAACTCTCAAAGACCTTCTGCCTGGGAGCCGGGTACTCTCACCTGGGGAAATCTGTGCAGGAGAGTCAGGGACCCCAGCAGGCAGGGTCTCTGGTTTTTCATTCACTGTGGGGCCTTGTGACTGTGGGCGGGGTGCGCACCTATTCTGAGCCCGGGTGTGTACAGAGAAGGAATTGGAAGGGAAAATTGTGCACTAGGAGGACTGGGCTCAGAGGGGAAAGGAAGTAGGGGATAGAGCAGGCAGGCTGTAGCCTGGCTTCAGAACACAGGTGACTCTGCCTGTTGCCAGCTTATGACCCCGGTTAAGGCACTTACACTTGCTCAGCTGTGAAGTAGAGATCTTCATAAAACTCTTTTCCATAGGTCAGAGGAACCCCAGGGCAAGGTCTCTGCTGAGTTGGCAGGGCATGTGTGGGTGCCCTCAAGTGTGGCAGGATGTGTGTGTGCATATGTGTGCGTGCAGCAGTGAGTATACGTTGGTGGAAGCGCCTGTGTGAGCAGAAGCAGGTGCACCAACCCTGATGAGGCACCTTAGGTAATGAGTTAAAGCAAAAGCCCTTGCCTGCTCACCCTCCTGGCCAAGGCTCTGTCTAGGATCCTCCGGCCCTGCGCTCCCCCTGCCACTCCACTGGTTCTGGGTTGTCGGGCAGGGGGTCCCTCTGGCAGCCACCTCTAGGGAGATTAGGGTAGGTGTCCAAAAGTCCTCAGAAGAACCTGGACCCAGGAATGTGTCCCCTTACCCCAGGCTCCAGGATGAAACCAACCTGAGGCTGGAGGCCGAGAACAACCTGGCTGCCTATCGACAGGTCAGGGCGGTGGGGAGGGGCCGGGGAGTGGGGAAGGGGTTGATGGCAGCCCACCCAAACACAGCTCTGAAGTCCAGCCCTCCAGAGCAATGTGCTGCTCCCCTCTGCCACAAAAGGAGGGATCAGATAAGACTAGGAAGTGGGGTCAGAGTGGCCCTCTGCCCCCTCTCTACTCCAGGAGGCAGATGAAGCCACCCTATCCCGTCTGGATCTCGAGAGGAAGACTGAGTCTCTGGAGGAGGAAATCCGGTTCTTGAGGAAGATCCATGAGGAGGTAAGGCTGGGGCAGATGGAAGAAAGGCCAACACAGAGATTGGAATTGAGGGAAAGAGACAGAGAGACTGAGACTGAGAGATATTCAGAGATGGAGAGATATTCAGAGCCAGAGAGAAAGAAACAGATTGAAGAGAAAGAAAGAAAATGAGAGAGAGTGTCAGGGAGAAACTAGGGGAGACAGATAGAGACAGGTAAGAAAGCATCCTTAGCCCCTGGTAAAATGCACACAAGACGCACACTCCACTTACTGGGAATTACAACAGACCTTATTGCCCCATATTTCTCTTCACTACAGCCCATGAGATAGGAACCCTTCCTGCGTTATCTCCTTTTCACAGAGGAGGACACTGAAGCCCAGAGAGGTTAAAGAACTTGCTAAGGTCACATAGTTAGTCTCTGACTCCAACCCCTCTGCCATCTGTCTCCATTTAAATGAGAGCCATTCAATACAAAAAGACCCCACTGAGCTGTGACTTCAGATTTATGGATTCAGAATCTATGACCTCATGGAAACTGGGAACCCGCAGGCACACCCACAACACAGGGACTGTCCCTCTCCCATGAGAACAAAGATACAATTTCAGTGCTCCTGCCTTCTGGACCTGGGGGGAGGACACCATGAAGCCCCCAAACTACCCTCTGCCTCCTCTAGCCTGGGCCATGCCACTTCCTCCAACTAGGAATGCCCCATTTCCCTTAGTCAATGTCTGTGTCTGAGGGGCAGGCAGAAGAGGGCATGATGTTATGGGGAAACCCCAGTTGCAGCCTGGTCCCTGAGCCTTGGAATCCCTTCTCTTACCCTGGCCAGGAGGTGCGGGAGCTCCAGGAGCAGCTGGCTCAGCAGCAGGTTCATGTGGAGATGGATGTGGCCAAGCCCGATCTCACAGCAGCCCTGAGAGAGATCCGCACGCAGTACGAGGCAGTGGCTTCCAGCAACATGCATGAGGCAGAGGAGTGGTACCGGTCCAAGGTAGCCCTAACTATGGGCCACTCTGCCTGCTCCAGGCAGCTCTGCTGGCTCCATACAAAAGAACTGGGGGAGGGGAGTGGAGGAAGCTGGGCGAGGATCCCCTCTGAGTGACTGACTTTCACCAGAAAACTGAAATGACTTGCCCAGGGTCACACAGGCACTATTACTTCCAATAAGTACTTATTAGTAGGAATATTATTGCTACTATTACTGTTAGCCAACACTGTTGTGTATTAGGCCCTGTGCTTTGCATAGATTATCTTACTATGACGTAGGTATTGTTCTTTGATAGATGATTGAAATGAAGTCCAGAGAGGTTAACTAATTTGCCCAGAGTCACACTGCTCCTATGCAGTAGAGCTGAATTTCCAATCCCAGCTATCTCATTTGGGAGCCTACATTCTTGATGCCTCTGCCATCTATGTCCTAGGTCATTGAGTATCTACTGCATGCCAGGCACTTCCTAGGATACAGAGACATGTCTGACCAGGGAGAAGTGATGCCACCCAAATATGATGTCTATGGAGAACACTGTAGGGCAGAGTTTATATGCGGTGTGGTGGCAGGGAGGATATCATAGAAGGCAGGGCACTGGGCCAGGCAGGACTGGCAGACTGTGAACATAAAGAGAAGAGGCAAGGGGCATTCAGAGTGCAGGACAGAGCCTGAATAGAGGCCAAAAAGCACAGAGAGTTGGAGGCCCAGAGATCCTGGCCCAGAGCATGGAGCTGAGGAGTGTAAATGGCAGAAGCTAGTGATGGTTCTGAGTAGGTCAAGGTGTGATGGAGCTGTTAAGGCTTGACTGCAAGCTAGGGGATGGAGGGCTATTGGAACCCAGGCCTCTGCTCACCAGAAGCCCCTGTGTATGGTGGGGGAGGACAGAGTTCAGTCCTGTAGATGAAGCTGCCAGGGCTGGAGACTCTGGATTCTGTGGCAAACACTGTTCATTCATTCCCTGCCCAGGCACTGTGCTAGGTGCTGGAGACATAGCAGTGGCTTCTGTGTCCCCTATCCGTGGGCCATAGTCGCTGGGAATAATCCTACCCGGGGCCAATGGTCTGGGGTGAGCTGGACAACGCCGGAGTCCCCCCCTCTCCCTCCCTGATTTCCCGTGCCTTCCCATGGGCTCACACAGCTCCGGCGATACGCAGTCCCAGCCCGCCCCTCAGCATAAGGCCCTCTCCCTATCCAGTTTGCGGACCTGACTGACGCCGCTGCCCGCAACGCGGAGCTGCTCCGCCAGGCCAAGCACGAAGCCAACGACTATCGGCGCCAGCTGCAGGCCTTGACCTGCGACCTGGAGTCCTTGCGCGGCACGGTGAGTGCGGGCACGGGGACGGGGTTGGAGAGCTGAGGCTGCCGAACCGGAGGAGGAGACCTGCAACCAACCGTAGGTGCCGGAGAAAGGCCAGGGGCTGGGACCAGGGCGGGGGGCGGGGCTCTGAAAAGTCACTCAGAAGCGACGGGGGCGGGGCAGGAGTGGGGCCTCCAGACTGGCCGGCTCCACCCACAGAACGAGTCCCTGGAGAGGCAGATGCGGGAGCAGGAGGAGCGTCACGTGCGAGAGGCGGTGAATTACCAGGAGGCGCTGGCCCGGCTGGAGGAAGAGGGGCAGAGTCTCAAGGACGAGATGGCCCGCCACCTGCAGGAGTACCAGGACCTGCTGAATGTCAAACTGGCCCTGGACATCGAGATCGCCACCTACAGGAAGCTGCTGGAGGGCGAGGAGAACCGGTGAGGCCTCTCCCTAGAGTCGCCTTGCTCCCTTCAGGGACTGTCTTATTCAGCCCTGTGTCCAGCCCCCTCCTATCCAAGTGACCAATGCAGCACTTGCCTAACACACAATTGGTATTCAGTAAATGTCTGAGGAATGAATGAGTGGATTCAGTTCAACTGATGTGGATTAGGTCCCAGGGTGAGGACTTGGGTCACCTCCCAAACTAAGAGGCTCACCAACAAAGACTGGACTTTTTTTCCCCTGTCGAGTCTCTTCTGCCTCCTGGGAACTCTCTTTGCCACTCCTGCCTCTCCACCCCCATCCCTACTCCCTCCCCAACATCCTAGGAGCATCCACTTCCCTTTGATTAGAGATGTTCCCCTCACAGATAACTCCAGAGAGTGTGTTGGCTGCTGGGGAAGCTAAGACGTGGGGTTGGCCTTTCTTGCCAAGGAAAAGGGTTTCAGGCTGTCATGATGACCCTAGATCAGGACTTGGCCTGGGGTTGTCCTCGGGCAGCCTGGTCACCTCTCTCCCTCTGCTGTCTTTCAGCATCACCATTCCTGTGCAGACCTTCTCCAACCTGCAGATCCGAGGTCAGTAGAGCAGGGCCTGTGGGCAGAGTGTTGGATTCCTGCCCTTTCCCCCCAGCCTGTCAGTTGTGGTTCTGGCCTGGGGCCAAGGACCAGGGCAAAGGGGTCCGGGGCTCTCCTTGGGGGCCTTCATGACTTACCACAGAACTTCTAGGCAGAACACACCACCCCAGGGCATGCAGGTGAGGCCTGTGGCCACTCCTGTCCTGCTCTGCCCTGTGTCCCACCCCCGACCCCTGCTCCCCGTTCCACTGTAGATCTGGGTGAGGGTCTTAACCTCTGTCCTGTCCGCAGATCCCTGAGCAAGCTCTACCCATCCGAGTGTTTGATGTTTGTGTTTTCTTAACTGCTTGTCACTACAGGGGGCAAAAGCACCAAAGAAGGGGAAGGTCACAAGGTCACAAGACATCTCAAAAGCCTCACAATACAAGTTATACCAATACAGGCTCACCAGATTGTAAACGGAGCCCCGCCGGCTCTCGGTTAGCTGCCTGCCTCTTAGACATTGTGCTTTTCTCAGCTTGACAGGGGGCGAGCCTCACCAAGCCCATTTTCCCCATCCTCTTGGGCTCCCCCCTCCTAGGTTTCCCTAAAGGGCCAAGCCTGTGTCATTTCCCCAGCAACCTCAGCGCCCAGCCCTAGACCTGGCACAGGGTAAATGTAGCTTAAGGTAGCAGAGCTGGCTGGTGTTCAAGGTGGTGAGTCCTCGGGTGCTCAGATGGGATGCTCTGGGGCCTCTGAGCAAACACCAGCCTCTGCCTCCGCTCTTCCCCATCACTGGGAGGGTTCCTAGGGTCTCACTGTGCCCGGTGGCCAGGCTCTCTGCTTGATTCTTCTTTCCCTGAGACTCCCTTGTTCAGCTCAGTGCTGATTCAGCCCAGAGGATTATTTCCTCTTGGAGTGAATAAAGTTTTATGTTCCCTGCTCTTAATTTTATATATTAGTGAGTGTGACATGTTGTATTTTTCTCTCTGAGGAGGGGAAAATCTAAATTACTTCTTACTCATATGTGGCCCTCAAATGATTCTTAGCTAAGGAAAAAAATTCTGGGCTAGAAATTTAGGAACACTAGCTATGCATGTGTCAGGGCTTAGTTCAGCATCAGAAGGCAGACCAGGTAGAGGCAACACTGCCAACTGCCAGACAGTAAAGGGTCACTAGGGCCCGGAGAAGTGGCAGAGAGAAGTAGGAATGGGGAAAGGACCCACATGTACTGAGCACTAATATGTGCCAGTCGCTTAACACACACTATCACAGTGAACTGACTCCTCACTCTCACCTCGGGAGGTAGACACCAGCATCTCCATTTTGCAGATGGGGAAACTGAGGCTGGAAGGAGTAAATTAACTTGCCCACAGTCGTGTGGCTGAGTTGGGAATCGAGCTCTGACCTGCCTGACTTCAGAGCCCATGTGTTCGTTCCTTGGCAGGGCACTGGGTTGTCAGGAAGCCAGGCAAGGGCTTGCAGAGGGACTAAAAGGCAGCCTGGCCAGCAAAGTGAGCAGAGCACTGGACGGAGCAGCCAGGACTTGCCTGGCATGGTGAAGACTTAGGAGGTCACCAGCCCCTTTGGAAAAACTAGGCCCTCTCTGCTGTGTTGGATAAGCTTTTGGACTCGTGATTAGGGGTTTTATGGGGAAAACGGGGGTGGGAGAGGATGTCTAGTGCCCTGAGAGCTCACGGAGGCCTCCTCTCTTCACACCTGCAGAAACCAGCCTGGACACCAAGTCCGTGTCAGAAGGCCACCTCAAGAGGAACATTGTGGTGAAGACCGTGGAGATGAGGGATGGAGAGGTGAGGAGGGCAGACCTGAGATTCTGGTCCCTTCAGGCTCAGGAAGAAAGCCTGGACTGGCACATAGAAGGGCCCCAATAACTCACAAGGGCTCCCTGGGGAGGCTCTGGAAGAGGGAAAGAACCCAAATGTAATTTACTACCCCAGCCCCTCCACTGGCAGTTTTAAGAGGAGCCTGGGTGCCTAGGTCACTGGATGGGGTCCTGATTCCGGCTTTCTCCCTTTCTCACCCCCAACACCAGGCCTGGGGGAGAGAGAAAGAAAATTATAGTTAGCAGCTTTCACTCCCAACTTTCAACTTCAGCTTAGTGAAAGGAACTTGCCAGAAGAATGGGAAGAGGGGACTAGGCATGGCCCCCTCCCCATCCCACCAGCAACAGTACTCGCTAATCTTTTGTCATCAGCTCACCACGTGCCACGCACAGTGCTAGGTGCTTACCAGTGTTACTTCATCTTCCTCTCTGACTGCTGCATGGGCGTCTTCTGGCTACTACCCTAGAAAAGATGACCCAGGAAGGCTGGGGACTTGTCCGAGGTCACATAGCCTAGCAGCAGTAGACCTGGAATCTGTGTGAGCTCCTAACTGCGGCGGCTTCTCTGTCCCCTGCAGGTCATTAAGGAGTCCAAGCAGGAGCACAAGGACGTGATGTGAGGCAGGACCCACCCGGTCACAGTATGAGGAGCCTGCAGCAGGAGTCGGGGTAGTTGCCCCTCCTCTACTAGCTGTGTTCCCCAGGCTTGAGTTCCCCCCCCCGCAGCTGCTCCTCTTCCCCCTCCATCTCTATACCAGCTTGTTGCCCTAGGCTCCATCAGCATTAAGTCAGCCAGACAGCACCCATCCCGTACCCAGCAAGTCCAACTAACAGGGCACTCACCCCGAAGGGGCGGCTGGGAGGGGCATGGCCAGCAGCTTGGGTTAGAATTGGGAGGGAAGAGAGAAGTTGGGGAGGGCAGGGAGAGCTAATAAATCACCCTCCATCTCCCGGATCCCTGTTGTCATGGCAACTGTTGCCAGAGCCTGAGGTGTCTGGGGGTATCTGGGAACTGGGCCTTTGAGTTTCCTCGGGCTGCTAGAGGAAAACCAAGACTCTGAGACAGGAAGGGGAAGTCCCCACGGCGGCCCTGGCCAGAGGCTTACTCTTCTAGACTAACCCTGACCAGTCTGCGGGTGGGTGGGGCTATCCTGCCACCTGGAATAGTCACCAGACAGAATTCCTGGCCTGCCCAAATCGAAGAGGAGCCTCCTGAGTGATGGTTCAAGTGTCTCAGCCCCACTGAGCAGCCATGTAGGCAGGCTGTGGGCCCATGGGAGCTTGGTTCTCAGCACTTGGGCGAACTATAGTGTAAGTGGTGAGGGAAGGGGTGCTGGGGAGGAGTAGAGGGGGGCCTGGCCCCTAGGTGTGGGTACAGAGAGGTCAAGCCCAGGAGGACTCCCCCCATACAGGCTGGAGGTGGGGCAGGTAGAGATGGTGGAGAAGGTAGTTGGGATGATGCTAGACATCAGAGTGGGGGGCTGTGCGTGAGCAGTTACATTTGGCCTCTGGATCGTGGGAATCAAGAAAGTGTCTCATCCTCTTAAAGATGCTAAAGCAGGAAAGGAAGAGGCTGCTGTCCACGGGGGCAAGGCCCACTTTGTCCCAGTTCTAAAGGCCCCTTCCTTGCTGTGTAATCCCTGTCCACCCAGGCCTCTCAGCCCCTGCAGCTGCCGCCTCCCGACCCCAGCAAATACTGCTGGCTGAGCCTCTGCTGCACACCTGACCCTCTCCTTTCCACAGTGCCTGCTGCTCTTCCCTAAGCCAAGGCCCCTGTGGGCCCCTCTTAGTCAAATACCAAACACACTCCCATGTTTTAGGTAGCATCCTATTTTATAATTGGATGAGAGGCACATGCAGAGTGAAGACACTGGTTTGTGTTCCTGCAGCCTGGAGGCAGGACAGTTTGGGGCAGGGCACTTGTTCTGCTGTCCACCGAAAGACTGGTGGGTGCGAGATCATTGGTGCCCACAAGTGGGGCTCAGAGGGCCCCCTATAGGGTCCCCCTCTCCCCTTTGGGGCTAGAGGGAGGGAGAAGTAGGAGTCCCTCACTCTTTCCAAGACTGGGTGTCCTTCCCCCACTCCCTCCTGCCACCCACTCTGCTAATCTTCAGGGCACTGCTGCTGCCTATAGTCAGTCACTGACATAAATAAAGACAATTGCTGTGGCCTTCCCCAGAGTGGACTCTGATCTGTTTGGTAGAGGCTGGGGCTGCGGGAAGAGGGCAGAAAGCAGCCTTGGACAAGACATGACTTGCTTCTTATCACTGATCATCTTGGAACCCCAGGCTCCTTCAGCAGCAGCCACATGATAAATCCCACCTCCAACTCTGCTTGGCCCTGCAGCCCCGGTGCCCCTCCCCCTGCCTTTGGTTCCTGCCTCTCTTCTCACCCCCAGCCCCCAGGCTGGGTGCAGCGTCTTAGGAAAAGCCTCAATTCAATCTCCACTTTCCTCACCCATTCCCCCTGTTCTAGTTTCTGCCTTTATTCCCAAACCTACTGTTTCTACCTGCCAGTCCCAGGACAAGGCTGGGGAGGAAGGCAAAGAGGATATATACTAGGTACCCTGACTCTTCTTCCTCTCTCTGCTACCCCCAATTCAACCATCGTTCACTTGGCAATCTTCGAGGACAAGAAAATAAAGGACCTCAAACACTGTTCAACACCAAATAGGCCATTTGATAAACATTAAGTTCACTTCTCCCTTCTCTGAGTGTAAAATCAGAAGACATGTACATCCTAGCTACTTCCATCCCGGACTCAGTCCCCCATCTCCCACCTGCCTCAGACTTCCCCATTTCTCATATCCTGTCCCAGACTCACTCATGAAAAAGGAGAGCAGGTTATAGCTGACAACCTTGTCCACATGCCCTTGCCACATGTCCCAGCCGAAGATGCTCACCCAGAGGCATCTGGTATCTTTTAACAAACACATTTAAGCACAACTGGGCAAGAGAGAGCCTAGAGGGAGAAGTTGGGACAACAGCGGAATAAGTAACAGCAGCAACGACAGAGGTGAATGGTGACAAAGATGAATGTGATGAGCAAGTAACCTATCAGGGTGAGCACCACGGCGGCGCGAGTCTCGGGGTCAGAAACTGAGACGGGGTAGCGGCCTCGAGATGTCACGCCCAGTCGGAACCCAGCAATGCGCACCCCTTGCCGCCAGCAGTAGTAGATGCCCCGGTCTCCCAGCTGGGTGAAGCGGATGTGGAGATGGTTGCCATGGTCAATGAACACCCTCATGGACCGGTTGACGCCCTTCAGGTACTGCGTGCGGTAGAGGTACTGGTGGTCCTTGTCCCAGGCCACGGCATGCTCTGGCCGGGCCCCCGGACAGGAGATGATGAGTCCGTGGCCCAGCCTCTGCTGGTGGAACTGAATGGGCACCTGGGGCACCCAGGGCCGGCTGCCCACTTTGGACACATAGTTGATAATGGCCATCACGCCCTCCTGGATCTTCTTCTTCTTCTCGCAGGGGACCACGCAGCTCTGAACGAGCAGCTCAGGGGTGTGGTCACTGGCCTTGGCCCGAAGCTTTCTCGGCACAGCCTGCGAACCACAGGACACCACGTCACTTAGTGTCTTGCGGTAGCGTGGGGAGAGGTCTGGGCTCTGCAGGTAGCACAGGCCAATGCGCCACTGCTCCCCACGCACCCCACAGCGGTCGCATGGAGTCCACTCCCAGAAGGTGGTGAAGACATGGAGGCTCCCGTGGTATTCATCGGCAAAGGGCTCCTGGCCTTGGTCCTTGAAGGTGGCCACCATTCCCTCACTGCTCTGGATGTCCACGTCGTAGGCATAAAAGTAGTCCCCCTTGCGGGTGCCGCAGAAATACAAGCCTGAGTCCTCGGGCTGGGCCCGGAAGACCAGCAGGCTGAACATGCGGATGCTGAAGCGGACCAGCATGTCGCTGCCCACGCGCACCTGGGCTGCTTCCGTCAGCACCCGCCCATCGAAGTCTGTCAGCACTTTGGTGTGGCTGCTTCCGAGGTGCTTCTGATAGTACCAGACAACAGCAGACACCTCCTCAGGCTTGCAGTGGCAGGGAAGCTCAAAGCTCATGTCGGCCAGGTAGGCTGCATTGTCAAACATCAGGAAAGCTGGGCAGGGGGTCCTCTGAAAAATATTCTCCTTCTCCACGATTTCAAAGGCCTGGAGACTCCTCCACACCCACAGGAACACGGTGGTGTGGGCCAGGTTCATGGCCGTGCAAGGGAAGGGTCTGAGGGAGTGGGGCTAAATCAAGGCACTAAAGGCCTATGGGGCTTCTAGAAATCACTGCTGGGAGGAGGCATCTATATGAAGGAAGGATTAAGCAGCCAAGAAAAGAAGTCGCAATTTGCAGAGGAAGCTGCCACAGACAAGGCAATTTATTCCCACTTGATGTACGAGATGCCCTTCTAATGTTCCAAACATGATCTTGAGGGAAAACCATTCTAGAACCTGGCCCTCTCTTCCCTTTCTAGAACACTGACACTCACCCAAGAATGGGTCAGGGGAATCTGGAATGAGAAGGGTTCAGGTGGTGGGACAGGGAAATCTCTGCCTCTCTGCTCCAGGCTCTGTCCTTCCTGCCTGGTGGAAAGGCCTTCCCCTTTGGTTAACTCAGCAGTTGAAGGAAAAACTCCCACCTGCACACAGGGCCATCTGAAGAAGGCTGGGAGACTGACCAGACCTGAGCTGACGGCTTGGGGCTTTCAGGCCCAACCTGCACTGGAACTCGGCCCCTGGGGAAAAACACTGCACATGGAATGAAGTAGCACTTGATTGTTTGCCAATTAAATGTTCATTCATTGGGTTTAGGTTATAAATACTCTTGTTAAGAGCTGAGGAGATCAGAACTTGTTGACTATGGAAGGTTAACGATTTTACTTTTTCCTTTTTTTTGACTGAAGTCTGTAACTGGTGTCGCCAGCATTTGGTTGGGTACACACCCATCTCTCAGAGCCATGGGCTAGAGGACTGGCTGACTCTGAGGGTGGGAAGCAAAACTCTTTCAACTTCTTGGGCCCTTGACCATCCTGTGGACCTACATAGTTCAGAATATAGAGCCCCCGCAAGAAGTTGGAGGAGAGGGGGAGATTCAGTGCCTGCTTTTGCTGTGAAAATTCCAAGTCTTGAAGGGAATCAGGTGTGGGCTTCTCATTACTGCCCTGCAGAGCCCCCAGAACAACCACCGAAAAAATGCCACCAATGACCACTAGGGAGCTCTGCAGGTAACTAGTCCCCTCAGTCCACCTGGTACAACCTAAGCAGCTCTTGGAGGAGACTCTCCACCTCCTGGAGCCCACCAGGCTGCTCCTCCAGATCCCGCTCCTCTGAGATGGGGGCACCCATGGCCTGTAGTTTCTGAAACAAGGCTCTGCAGCTCTCTCTCTCTGCATGGCTCATCAGGCTCAGGTTCAGGTTGAAGCGTCCGGTGCTGGCCAGGCTGCGCAGGATCCCCAGCACCACCCACCGGTCAGCTGGTCTCACGTGATCGGCCAGTGCCACCAGCATCTCCCCGAGAAGTCCAAACCCCACATCCACCTGGAAGAGGTGGCGCAGCTTTGGACCCCCGAGCTGCAGCAGGGCCTGGTAGCGCTCTGGCCCACTCGACAGGTATCGCCGCCAGTCACGGTAGAACTCAGCCGAGGTCTCAGGCTGGGGGAACGTTTTCTCCTGGATCACAAAGGGAGCAAAGGGGAGTCCAGAGCGCTTCCATCTGTTCTGTGACAGTGACAGTGAGGGGAGCCTGTGGGTTTTTTCATCTAAGCTCTGGTACCATTCTCTGAGCCTTGGGAAGGCTGTGTCCCTGTGGGCCTCATTTTCAGACAAGGCAACTGGATGGGATGGGGAGGGAGGGTCCCAAGGAACGCAGGCTATGATTTGAGATTCTCAGTTGTACCAGGATTTTCCTGCCAATGAATGTGGACAGAGAATTGTTCTGCGAGAGTTAAGTCAGAGTTTGCTCTGAGTAGGGCTTGAAGGATGATTTGAAACCTCAGGGGGAGAGACAGGAACTCAATATGAGTATTAAGGATCTGACATGCTGGATCTCCCTCCTAACACTGCCAGAGGATCATGTACTCTATACTATAGAACCTGGAGGCAGAGCAACCCAAATCTGATCTGGGAATGCAAGCCAGAGGACTGACTGCAAGGGGTCTGCCTAGCCCACCTTTCTGACTTGTACTGCCCAGTTTCAGCCCCACCACCCACTGCTTGCTCTTCTTTCTGAGACTAGAGGCAGAAACCTGCCTCTGTTGGCCTAACATGAGAAATAAGGAAAATGTAAGGAGACAGGATTGGAGGTTCATGGCAGAGAATCCTGCTGGGCCCCACCTACCCGGGAAATTTCAGTGGTTTCGTCCTGGGAGGGCCTTCCCTGAGTAGTGTGACAGTTCCAGGGCACAGTCCTCTTTCCTCCTATCTTGTCCTTCCGCTCCAGTGGCTTCAGATGTGATGCAAGGACAATACCCCTGTGGGCAAAGGACAGAGATTAGGGGATGGACCTAATGCTGTCTGTAGGTATGAGATGGCTGGACTTTCATGGCACAGGCTGAATCTGTTGGCAGGCCAATATGACAATAATAATAAAAACAGCAGCATCAATGGCTGACAGCTTTTGAACACTTCCCACATGCCAGACGTGCTCAGAATCTTATATGTGATAACTCATTTAATCACAACAATGGTTACTCTCTTTTATAGATGAGGAATAGAGGCTCAGAGAGGTTAAATAACTTGTACAAGATCACACAAGTAGCAGAGGGTAGGGCCAAGACAGAGCCCAGGATTGTCTGACTCCAAAGCACATGCTCTTATCCACTATAGTCCACCATAACAGGAGAGCCTGAGAAAAATGGCATTAAGCCAACCTGAACTCCTCATAGGAAGCCACCCTCTGTTCCACTGCCCGTAACTTGGCGGCATTCTCCCGTTTGTACTTCTCATCAGCAGTGATTGCAGCCTGTAGCTCTTTTTCCAAAGCCTTGAAGTCAATGATGTCATTCCTTTCCATAGTCTGTGCCTGGGAAGGAAAAAGGAATGAATGTCAGCAGAGGGTCAGTATCAGGGACAGGGTAGGGGGTGCATCTGGATTCTTTGCCAGCCCTCAAAATGATCCCAAAGCACTCTAGGTATCTTGTCACTTATTTTGGGGGGCTGTTAAAAAATCTAGTTCCCTATTTTACAGAGGGGAGCTGAGTTGCACAATAAGGGCTTAAGATTTGTTGTCACTGAAAATAGAATAGTCTCAACTTTCAATCTGGATCCCTATCTTAATTTTGTTCTCTGCCTGTAAAATTATATTTTTAATTGAAGTATAATTGACATATAATGTTATATTAGTTTCAGGTGTACAACATAGTGATTTGACAGTTATATACATTATGAAATGATCACCATGATGTCTGGTTATCATCTGCCACCATTTATAGTTATTACAATATTATTGACTGTATTCCCTATCCTGCATATTACATTCCCATGGCTTATTTATTTTATAACTGGAAATTTGTGCTTCTTAGTTGTCTGACTCTATTTTGCCCATCCCACTACTCCCTTCCCCTCTGGCAACCACCAGTTCTCTGTATTTATGAATGTTTCTGGTTTGCTTGTTCATTTGTTGATTTTTAAATTCCACATTTAAGTGAAATCGTATGGTATGATTCATAATACCATAATACCTATCTGACTCATAATACCTTGTAATATCCCATAATATCTTAACATAATACCCTCTAGGTCCACCCATGTTGTTGCAAATGGCCATTTTTCATTCTTTTTTATTCTGCCTCTAAAAATGTTTTAATACTTGTGCTTTGGCTGAGGAAGCATTTGGATTTCAGAATTCAGTATCTTCATGCTTCCACATGGGCTCACTCTTTAGTGAGTTGTGGTAGAGGCCCTCACACAGAAGCAGAACAATTGTAACCTACTCTTTTTATATATATAAGAGAAGATATTAGTGATCTTTTAAAAAAAAAATCTTAATGGAGGCACTGGGGATTGAACCCAGGACCTTGTGCATGCCAAGCATGCACTCTACCACTGAGCTATACTCCACTCCCTCCATTGTAACCTACTCTTTTAGAACCCAGGGATAAAATTTCACCCATTGTTAAATGTCTTTAACCAGGAACCAGATGCAATGATTGAGCAGGAAATCAAGTAGATGTGGCAGAGAAAGCGGCTCAATGATCCCCGTTGCCATATCCCTCTGTTCAGCTCAGGGCTGGAGCACAGGTCCCTAGGCACTTGGGCAACGTCTTTAGTTTTGCCATGGTACTTCTGCAGCTTCCGCAATATCTGAGGCTGATTGACACGTTCTGTAGGGAGATCACCTATAAGGGTTCTAGTCTTGGCTCTGACATTTACTTGCTGTGAGACCCCTTTGACCTCAGATTCCTAGTGTATTGAGCTAGATTATGTGGCGAAGTCATCATCAACAGCCCTAGGGCAGGGAAGCAGGTAGTCTACAACCAACCCCGGAGCCCTCCCCTTCCACCCAGCTGAACAAGAAAGAGAATGGGCTGGCCAGGAACTGAACTCAGGTATCCCGGCTCCTGTCCAGTTCTGAGTCCTCCCCAGTCAGTAAATAAATAGAACACCTAACCCTGCCGCCCCCTGACCTTCACCCCAACAGCCCCGGCCTTGGTTTCCTTCCTTTCTTTACAGCTGCCCAGATATTGCCAGACCAGGATCGCTCAGCGTAGACCACGCCCAGCCGCTGTGTGGTTGCCCAGCAACTGCTCCAACAGGCTGCCCACGTGTTCGGCCCGAAGGCCCCCGTCAGGGTGGCCCCTATGCGCCTGATCAGATTCACGCCTCCTCAAGCCTCACTTTCTTTGGAGTAGCCCACCCCTTGGCTGGGAGACCCACAACCCTGCCTTGCAAGTTTATGTGACCGCGGCCGGCATTCCTCCGAGCTGGTCCTCAGGCAGAGGGCTGTCCTCCGGGGCAGAAACGCGACCGCGACGTCTGCGGGGTCCTTCAGGACGACAGTCGCAGACGGTGCAGCGGCGTGGGGCGGAAGCACCGTCTCCCGTGGCGAATTCGGAGTTTTTGGCTGAGCAGGCGGGAGGTGAGCCGATGCGGGATAAGCGCGTGGGAACGTTGCTTCGGTGGGATGGGAAACTGAGTAATGTCAAATTTAGAAGAGATGTTAATGCTATCTGCCCCTTTCACTTTACAGATGGGTAAATTTTGGCGTGGAACGGGAAAGGGAATGAACTCCCCCCCGCCCCGACCCATACACACAGATTCTGGGGTTCCCTCCGTACTGTCCATTCATAAAACCCCTTCCCTGGGCAGGAGTCGTTCTCTCACTATCCATTCTCTCACTGAGAGAACATCCGTTCTCTCACTTCTTTTTCCATCTTTGCCGCCTTCACGCCTTCTCAACAAAGCTCCCTTCGTCCTTTGTATTCCTTAGAGAGCCTGCGTTTTAGTAGGAAGCTGCAGTGAAGTTTGGTACTGAAATTCACTAGTTTTATGCAACCGTGGACAAATTAGCTTCTCTGTGCCTTGTTGGAGTCGTTCATTTATTCATCCAATAAATACTTACTGAGGTTCTGTTTTGTGCCAGGCACCGTTCTAAGTGAAAAAAGCAAAGCCCTTGCTTAAACTGTAGTTGGAGTGATAATAATTAAACAATGAAAATGGGGGTTGGGGAGTGTAGGTATAAGGGGGCTTTCTGAGAGTGACAAGGAAAAGATTCTCAGAGATGGTTACATTTTAGGAGACTTCAGTGAAATGGAGGAGCAGGGTATACATGTCCAAAGGAAGAGCATTTCAGAAGAGAATAGTAAGTGCAAAGGCCCTGAAGCAGAAATGAGAGATGTTTCACGAATAGCCTTCTATAAAACTATATGCAGTCATTTCATGGGTATCTTGGGGGAATGAAATGAGCACAGATGTGATAGCTCTTTGAAAGTAAAAAGCATCTCCACTTGTATGAAAGTTTGCATAATAATTTACATCTACTTATAGTGCTCTTATTCTCTTTTACCCACAATCAGCATTCAACGGGGGGGGGGGCATTGAGGGAGGTGGAGGGATTAGCCTAGTGCAAGAAATATCAGTATCCCAAAATTAAATATTCTGTTCTGTTAACATTTGTTTAGTTCCCACCTATGTCTTGGCCCTTGACAGGTGGGCACAAAGAACACAGGGTTCCTGTATTTAAGAAAGGCCAAAATATAATGCCAGCTAACATTTATTGAGCTTGAAACTGTGATAAATTCTTTACACATATTGTATTGTTTAATTCTCATAACCCTTTGTGTAGTGGGAATTAATCATTTTATTTTCCAATTGAAACAGACTTGGAGAGGTGAGTAACTTACCTGAAGTGACATAGTTATTAATTGACAAAGTTTGAAGTCAAACCTAGGTCTTCCAGTTTCAGAGCCCTGACCATGAACCCACACTCTGGTCTGTTTTTTATTACTTACAAGCTGTAGCGTTGTTGGTGAGGGTAATTAGTATAGTTAACTACCATTCAGAATAGGATTAAATGCTGATAAAGACACAGAAGGCTGTAGCAGCATCGGAGAGTGAGAAATTGAGGCTCTAGGAATGCTTGAAGACAGTGGCATTTGAACTGTTACTTGGAATAGAATTTAAATAGTTGAAGTGGAGGTAGCCCACAAAATACTTACTAACTACAAAGAGAAAACAAGTAACTTTACAATAGAAAGGCCTGGTAGACACTACCATAACCGAGTGATTAAATCAACATCAGCAACGATGGGGCCAATTAAAATCATGTGCCACCTGATAGGAGATGGGCTGTGAAGAACACAACATCACTTCTGTGATAGTCTTGCCAATAATGTATAACCTAAATCTAATCATGAGGAAACATCGGGCAAACCCAAATTACAGATCATTCTACACATTTACTAGGCTTTTATCTTCAAAAGTGTTGAGTCATAAAAATCAAGGAAAGACCAAGGAACTGTTTGAGACTGAAAGACACTGAAAGACAGTTGCAGTACTCATCTCTGCTATTAGTGTGAAAGCAGCTCAGACAATATAAAAGGATAAGCATGGCTGTGTTCCAATAAAACTTTTTATAGACACCAAAATTTGAATTTCATGTAACTAATTTTCATGTATCATGAAATACTATTCTTTTAATTTTTTCCAACAATTTAAACATGAAAAACATCTTGCCTTCAGGCTGTATGAAAACAGTTGGCAGGCCAGATCTGAGCTCAGACCAGTGTGCCAACTCCTGCTCTGAACTATTAGACATTGTGTCAGCAACTTATTCTCAGATAAATTAGGAAAAAAATTTATTTGTACTATTTTTTCAAATTTCTTGTATTATTATAAAATTAAAATACTTTTAGTGTTAAAAAAAAGAAATAGGAGAAGAGTATTTAAACAGACAATGAGTAGAAAAGAGAGGAGAGGAAAGTACAGGGATTTAGGGGAACAGGCTGGTTGATGTAACTGGAAAGGAGATTGTGTGAAGGGATATGGTCTAGGATGGGCCACGTCATGGAGGCCTTGATTACCTTGCCAGCATCTAATTTCTCTTCTTGAATTTTAGCATCATGGATACTGACTTGTATGATGAGTTTGGGAATTATATTGGACCAGAGCTTGATTCTGATGAAGATGATGATGAATTGGGCAGAGAGACCAAAGATCTTGATGAGGTAAAACAAATTTATTACTTTGTTCATCTCACTCTTTTTTGAAGAAGCAATATAGTACTGAATCCTTTGTGCTCCCATAATACCCTGTGTGTATCTCTAACATTGCCCTTTTTATAATATGACTTACTCGGGTCTCATACTGCGCCTAAGAAAGCTTGGCTACTGAAGTTCCAAAGGAGAATGTAAGATAGTTTCATTGGTTGGGTGGTTTTATAATCTGAGCTCTAGTTCACCTGGTAGTAGTTCTTCTTCTATTTGCCTGAGGTGCCTTTTGACAATCATGAATAATTCCAACTTTAAAAAAAAAAAAGATAGTCAACTTTTTCAGGTGCCAGTGCCCTGGAAATTCCCTCGTAAGCTCAGGTTTTAAAAGATGCATAAAAGCAATAGGAAGAGGTGGTGCAGATTCCTATGACTCCTCTTCAGGAGAGCTGTGGAGGATGAAGTCCAGAATGGCTTGAGGCTTACAAAAGACACCAAAAGTGGCTTTTGTAAGATGAAAATGTTTAAAACAAGATGTAGATAGAACAAGAAGTAGATAGGCCACATGCTCATCAGTGGAGGCTTGATATTAATGGGACAGCAGGAAATTGGAACAAAAGTCCTAGCTGCCATTTGTCTTCTCCATCAGGAAGAATGTCCTTTAAACTAGAAAAAAATAGAATAAACACTGGGAAAAGAAAATTGAAGCCATATAGGTGAGGCAAAAAGGGAGTATCTTGTAGCTTTAGATGCGTTCAGGTCTCCGGGTCCAGATGAGTTATATCCTGGATAGGGTGGTGGGGGTGACCTTACAGAGGTAAGCTGAGAACCACTGTGGTCATTTTTAAGAAAATGACAAGTGGCCATGGTGCTAGAAAGTGAATCAGGCAACTTGTCCAACTTTTCAAAGATAGAGCAAAAAAGCACTGTGTTCAGAAACCGCAGACTAGTGAGTGTGATGTGCATCCATGGGAAAAATTATGGAAGGAATTTTAGAATAGATGACTGTTGAACACTTAGGAAGCTATTATGAGTTTTATAAAAATAAATTTCTCTTGATTTGATTACTAGATTGAGATATAGGTCTTAGATATGCTGTGGGCATTATGTGTCTTGATTTGGGCAAGGCACTTGAAGACTTTTTTAATAAAACCTTTTTATAAAATATTTTAAAGGGATTATTTTTCATTATACAAGTAATTCATGAATACATTTTCATTCAAACCAGATAGAAAGTCTTGTTTTTCTCATTTCATTTCACTCTCCTTCCCAAAGTTACCAATATAATTCATGATGTTCTTGTGAAAAGAAGATGGGCTGAGACAACACAATTAGGAGAGATCCCAGCAACTGAACCATGGGGCACAAAGAGTATTGGTTACTGGATCACTGCCAGAGCTTTTGGGACATGCCCCAGGCATCTGTGCTTGGTCCCACCCTTTTCAACCTTTTTTATCAATGACTTCGGTGAAGATAGAGAAGAGAGGTTTATAAAATGTACACATGACATAAACTAATAAATTGGGTAAGGGAATCTAAATTCAAAGTGATCCCAACAAACTTGAATTCCAGGCTAAATAAAGTCCAAGAATTCATCCATTATGTATTTATAGAGCACTTACTGTTTGTGAGGAATCATGATGCAGAGAGAGCCAAGGCACTATCCGTGCCCTCCGGGAACCTGTTGCTTGCCAGAGGAGATCAAGTGCAAAAGTGTTTATAACATGAAACAGGGAAGGAGAGGCACCATTTAAGTGATACTAACTTACATCCCTAGTAATAATATATAGGGAGAAAGCATCCCTGGATGGAATGACCAAGAAAGATACCTGAGGAACTGACAATCAGAGTGGACCTGAAGAATGGGTAGGCATCCGTAGAGGCAGAAAATAGAATGATTATTAATTGACCAGGTTGGGGCAGAAATTGGAATAATGGCTAAAGAGAACAGGGTTTTTTTGGGGGGCGGTGATAAAAATGATCTAAAATTGATTGTAGTGATGGTTGCACAACTCAGTATACTGAAAACCACTGAATTGTGCATTTAAAACACATGAATTGTATGAAATGCGACTTATATCTCACTAAAGCTATTAACAACAACAAAAACAAAAGAAA